TGATCTGATTAGCCTTCTTTGAAGACAAGGAGGAAAGAAAGGGCTTGAAAATAATTTCGCATGTTGGGCCTTAATACTGTCGTCAAATCTCAAACGTGCTGGTGAGTTTTGATCATAATGGTTTAACATCAATGTTTTATACACTTCATAACTTATAAGACCGTGAGTTTAAATCTTTTTGTCAACATAAGGATTTTATTAGTAGGCGACTTGTAAGTGTTTCTATAAGTATTCTTTGAGTCTAGAGAGATAATGTTTTGGCTTTCGAGACCCAACTCACTTGATATAAAAAAATATTGACGTTTTATCAATAAATTAGGTGGGATTTTATACCATCTTATTAGAAAAGCTCAAGATTTATATTAATATGTTAACTACAATAATAATCCATAGCTGTTAACCCCGCGGGGTTAGGTCGACTGGTTGGGTCTCCTAGTTTAACCACGGATCTCGGGTTCGAGATTTGGGAACGCAGCATCTAAGGAGTCAGGGGCACCGTCCGTATGGATCCTTGCAAGCCCCCGAATCCGGATTAGTCTGGGAACGTTATCACGGCTGAAAGACGCCTATTTCCCTGGGATACCGGATGGAGTAATCCAAAAAAAAAAAATCCATAGCCGTTAGTTTGATAAATGAATATGGACAAGCTAACAAATGCAGAATCAATCAGGCCAAAAAAAAAATGCCGAATCAATAGAGCACAGTATTATATCCCTTAAGCGGCAATTCTGGCGAGACCCCATAATGCGATGATTTCAAAATGGAGCTGAGAAGAGTGAAGAGACTTGTACAGACGAAACGACAGGAATGTCTACATCAGAAAAGAAGCATCACAAGGAAATGGAACAGTTCACTGGAATTTGAAACACATCAGACTGTGAAGAAGAGAATTTGAAGGAGGATAAGAAAATCAGAAAAAATAAAGAAAAAGGTAAATCAGGCTAATAGTAACGAAGAAGAATATTTAAGGAGGAGAGTGAACAGGATTCTCTAGGGTCTGCTTTATAGTGAAGGTGATATGAGAGAGAGTTTTGTCATTTTCTTTTAGGGTTGTACGAATATTAGATAAAATGCATGTAACCATACTGCTCATGGCAGGGCAGAGAGGGCTTTAATGGACTTTATTATCCAGGTACTTTTTGATAGTAACCCCCACTTCATCTCTCTTTCTCTCTCTACCACCCCACACTGAAAAGAAAAGGAGAGATTGAAATTGAACATCAAAATCAAACTATGGTAAACTCACTAAATTATTTGGGAAGACAAACAAAAGAATGAGAAAGCTACTCTTTTTCTTTTGTTACTCCTCCTACCCCCAAACAAAACAGTCCCATTACAATTTAGGGAATGAAATTGCCAACACACACAAAGCCAAAGGGGCAACAAGAAAGGAGAAGAAACCCTGCAAAACCCACCACCCATAGCAATAGCACTGTGTTATTTTGCCCTTGTTTCTGCCATATTCAGGAGAAAGTTTCGTGCTTTTGAAGATGCCAAGGCCAGGCCCTCGACCTTACGAGTGCGTGAGGAGAGCTTGGCACAGCGAGAGGCACCAACCCATGAGAGGTTCCATCATTCAGCAGATTTTCAGGTTCTGGGTTGTCTGCGTTTTCGTTGCTTTCTGATTTTTTGTGTGTTTCAGCTGCTCAAGTTTGTGCATTTTGCTGATTGCCTACCACGTGTTTGATTAGGGTCGTCAACGAGACTCACAGCTCTGCGACTAAGAAGAACAAGGAATGGCAGGAGAAGCTTCCTACGGTTGTTCTTAAGGCAGAAGAAATCATGTACTCCAAAGCGAATTCCGAGGTTTTATGTTTAGAAAATGCGTTCAGATTGTTAGATCTTTTGCTGCATTGCATACTCCTTCTCTGAATTTTTCATAATCTGCTGCTTAGGCAGAGTATTTGAATCCTGATACGCTTTCGGAGCGCTTGAATGATGCCATTAACACTATCATACGGAGAGATGAGAGTACTGAAACGGGAGAGCTTTTGCCTCCATGTGTTGAAGGTATTATTTAGTTGTTCCCCTTCTTGACATTTCTCTGGATCCAGTTCTGGAACTTGCTGAATCAGTTTATATCTAAATTTGAACTATGCTGTGTTAAATTCTCTTGTCATTTGAAAAACGAATATTGGCTAAAAATTAGTAAATTCTGAACTTGTTTTCTTCTCAGCTGCACTTAACCTGGGCTGCAAACCTGTAAGAGCCTCAAGAAGCGAAAGGCATAATAACCCCAGAACTTACCTAACCCCTAGAACGCAAGAACAAGCTTCTGGATCTCCTAAGACTGTTGGGGAACTACGCCCTCAATTTTCACCCATTCAGTCTGGCAATCCGTTAAACTTAGCAAAATCCCATGTTGCTTTTTCAGCACTTCCCATATCGGATTCTAGTAAGCTTGCCCTGCATAATCATTGGTTGATGGGCTCACGTAACTATCCTTTCTCAGATACTTTTCCTGCTGCACGTCACCAACAATTGACAATGGAAAATAACCCATCTATGAATTTGGGTTCTGTTTATCCCCTGTATTATGGAGCTCAGCATGAATCCAAACAACCCGGGCTACAGATGACCCCAGAAAACACTTCATCCGACCAAATTTGTTGGCACACCGATTATTACTCCCATCCCTGAGCCGGCCAGTTTTGGTCTATTGCAAAACCTCTCTCATAATAGATCTCAACTTGTTCTTAACTGTGCTGCAAAAGAAGCTTCTGTGGAGATTCAGGGGACACCGCCTGAGAGAGAATGTGATTTAACTTTGAGACTGGGTCTGGGTTTGCAGCCATGTTCCAACAGAGGCAAAAACTCAGCATGTGAAACCGAAGATGTTGGTTGTGTTAGGTTAAGGAGTTCTCAGGAGGTCAACAAGTATAGTCATCTATCTTTGCAGACAAATAAGGAGTTTTGCTTTTATCCTAGAAAGACAGGTTTCAATACCTTTGACCGCAGTTATACAAGATGCAATTCAGAGGGTGAATACCAGAACTTGGAGGCAACTTCTCGAAAGCGCAAGGTGCCTTTATGTAACAATGAGGAGCAGGATGGACAATTTTGCCGGCAACTAGGAGTTCCATCCAACCAGGTTCCTGGTAGAAGCCAAGGGCCAGGTTTGTAGACAGTCTTCTTTTCCTGTTGTAGCATATTTGCTTTTGCAGTTCAAGATGATTATAGATGCTGCTGAATCCACGTATGTAGACTCTCTCTATATGTAGCCCCGTTTGTGAAAAAAATTTAGTTGACAATGAGTTCCCGAATGCATTGCTGCAAATATGAATTGTAAATAAGACCTTATCTTTGTTTTTTTAATATCTTGCTAACTCAAGATCAAGAGTGAAATTGAAAAGATCATATTTAATGCATGGAAAGCATAATGTTTGACCTGCGATCTGAACCAGCATAATTCAGCTTGTCTGAAGACTGGGATTTGTTAATCTGTTATTAGCACCTCTGCTTTAAGCAATGTACTAGATATTGCAAATACTTAAGGGGCATGCCCCGCGGTGTTTTATTATTATTATTATTATTTTCATTCGCCAAGTAGTTATGGACAAACTTAATATTACCCCATGATTGAGAAATAGATCTGCTGATCTAAACACGACCAACTCTAGATGCAGATGACAACTATTGAATGATGACATGGAAATCACATCGGGAGGCAAATTTAACAAACCAAGTAAGCAGACATGAAAATGTTGTGAAATGTTCTCATTAATCAAAAGCCCACCTTAAAAGATGGGTTGGGGTGCATTTTCTGATATTCTGCTGGGAAATAGGTAGGAGGAGATGAAGGGTTTGATGCTTAACCAATGTTAGAAAAAGTTTTCCAGCTTTTGTGGTTATTCAATATCCACGTCTGAACCTTACTTTGGACCACAGACAGTTAACGATATGTCACTTGGTATTGAACTTAACATTGAATCTGGTTAAAGTGTTGTCTGATCAAGTCTGGTAGCTTGTAGACAATGTTTCAATGAAATGACAAGAACCTAAAATGTCTCATCATTGATTAACTGCGTAGACCTTTTGGTCCCAACATTTTCAGAATCGACATTTTGAGAGTAAATATACAAATTGATGATCGAAAAACATTACTCTTCAGATTTGTTTCTTCTACGCATTAGTCTCTCAAAATTTGTAACTTGCGACGCATCTGTACTGACATATAATCCTTTAAAATTTGTGATTTGTAAACTTATAATTTGGTCTGACTGAGGCAATTTAAATCTAATGGGTATAAACTATAAATCTTGAGGAACTAATCCGTGTAGAAGAATAAATAAAAGACCTAAAGCATAATGGGGTATGCCTTTCATAGTCTATATTAGGAGTTGTATTAAACACAAAATAAATAGTCCTTCTTGTTTTAAATATAAGATTTATTTCGTAATATAATTTACATTATAAAATAAATTTTATATTTAAGACCGGAAAGTGTTGAGTATTTTAATGTGGCCGTATATAAGAAGAGCGGTGTCATTCCCAGGTGGGGGGTTAAGAGCTCTATGTATGTATCAAGTACAGTTGACTACTCTGATGAAATCAATATCAAGTAGAAAAAACAACCAATTATGAGAGGGACAACAAATGTCGTTTTTATCAATCGAGTAACTGCTAACTAACTGGATTCAGAGGAAATTGAGAGAAAGTGACAGTAGAGTACATAATTTTGCACAAAATCCTTTTTTTTAAAATATTTTTTATTCATCTCTACTTTTTTTCTCTTTCCAAATTTATACCTTGCTCCTTGCAGATTATGAGAACAAAAAGTCTCCAAGACGATGCTTTAGGCGCCTCTTTTTTGGGTTGGGGTTAGGTGGTGTTCAAAATGGTTGTGGTCTTTCAAGATGGGGCTGAGACTTGTGCAAAAATTTCCAGGAAAAATTATTGAAGTTGGCATTTGTGCATGTCACTAGTTTTCTTGTTCCTATTTAGACCCCCCCGCGTTAAGCACTGAATGGTTATGGTGAAATCTGAAGCCAGCTTCTTTCTGCTTTCGTGATTCACCATCAAGTGATCAACTGCTTTATTGAAACAAAACTTCTCATAGCAGTACATTCATTATTGAAACTTGAAGAATACTAAACAAATCGAGTAGCTAGACACTTAACGAATACAGAAAGTACATCTGGTCTGTAATTATATGAAACACTATAAAAACCTAGACGCGGTTGAAGAAACAGACAGCAATGGTGGAGAGGATTGCAGATAAGACCCCACAAGACAGAATTGGAACAGAATTAATAGATGGTGGTCGAGCTGAAGCAGAGGTACCAGAAGAGAATGACCCCTCAACGTTGATACTGAACTTCTGGCCTCTTTCACAGTGATCATCGACGGTGGTGATAAAGTAGCGAGGCCCCGGATGCAAGAGATCAACCATAAACACCGTCCCGGCGTACGGGTTCGTCTTGGTGCTGCAGTTGTTGTAATCAGCCATTGTTACATCAGCAAAATTCTGGTTTTCAGTCAAGTTGAACACTGATAGATTCAGCAGAAAGAGAAGAGAAACGTCAATATTACGTACATATTGCAAACATGTGGCCTTTTAACATGCATGGAATGCTGTGTGACCTTGTTTTATAAAATCCTAAACATGAGTCAAAAAGAACATCCATATGAGAGTCTACCACTCTACCATATTCCGGGTTGTCGTCGTTTGACGAATTTAATGTTCTTATAGCTCAGAAACAAAATGAATGAATGATGGTGCAAGGTTTTTAATAAACAAAAAGGATACCCAGAGAGTCTCCAACGACGAAGGTCTTGGAGCTAGCCCACTCTGAATAGAAGGTCTGGTTGGGAGGGATGTTCCATCCAAAGCTGCCACCAACGTTGTATTTTGTTGCCTCTGTTGCTGCAAATAACAAAGACAGTACAACGATGGAACAACCTACGAAGCCAGTGTGTTTGGCCATTGTTGTTCTCTTTTTTCTGTGTAGTTTGGTTGGTTATGTCTTGAAACTCTGTTGTACGTTCAAGTCTTCTTGCTGCTTCAAGGCGATGAGATCCTGAATTGCAGCTAACTACACGATATATATATATATATATATAGAGAGAGAGAGAGAGAGAGAGAGAGAGACGCTATAGAGGGTAGGATTGGGAGGGAGCTTCCTATCTTATAAGGAATTAAGAATTCTCAAATGTTAACTTTAAGGTACCATTTTTGACCATTTTCGTCGAATGGGATTTGGACCATTCTCCTATTCTGAGAAGTCGTTCTTTTTTTTTTTTTTGGGATTTAATATTTTGTCATCCGGGCAGTGCGGTCGACTATGTCAGTGCAGAAGATTCTATTAAGTATTAACGCATTTGCTTCGTACAAATGCAATGATCCGTGTGACAGAAATAACGACATATTCATATCGTGCCTCTTTTGTTCTAGTTTTATTTGAAGTTACTGGGTGTGGGGAGGTGAAGATGATTAATGAAAAGTTTTGAAACAGATTTCTTTCTTTTTTTTTGGGGTTACATGTTACTGAAGTTATCTAACTATTAAAAGAAGAGAACAACTAATTTAGTTCCGTGCTGAATTAAAGAAAAACAACCTGAAGTTAAAGTCCATAATTGGTTAGGGGTACGGCAGTATGGCGGGTTGTTCTTGACTTCTTTTTTGGTCAAAGTTAAACACGCTAATCCTTAAGGATGGTTGACTTTTTCATAATGAATTAAAATGTGCCTTGTAGTCTTTGTCACTCCCTTGACTTTTTAGGAAGTTGATTTTTTTTATCTTGAATATAAGGTTATAATTTTTTATCCCTTGTATTCTTTTTTCGGGATGAAAAATGCAAGACGAAAAAGGAAATTAACATATAATTTAATATTTTTTATCAAAAATAATATAATCTAATATTACATAGGGTTATTCTAAGAAGATCATGTTGTATTTATTAAAATTAAATATTTTATTTATTTATTTTAATTTATTTGAATTAGTTAAGTGATTCTTATATTAGGAATCAAAAGAGTACATACCTATACTCCCTTTAATCCTTATTATAGTCACACAATAACAATTTAACATAAATTAGTGACGTGAATCAATATTTTTTTAATAAAACATCATCCTCAATCAAAGTTACTAGTCAGAAGAGTTTGTAGTTAGGAAGTTTCATAATTAGTTGGAGATGCTTGGTGAAAAAAATTAATATGTTGAACAAAATATGTTATCTTAGGCAACCTGTTGGAAGTGTCTGTAATAAGGACAGAAGAGAGCATATATATAATAGAGTATGAAAATTGAAGACATAGTACTAACGCATTTGCTGGCCTATTATAGGAGATAGAAGAAAATTTTTTACTCTATTTTCAAGCCAAATCATTAACTTTTTTTAAAACATAAATATATAATTTTATCTTTAATTTATTAGCGTGTGGAGTGTTATTTTTTTGGAAACTTATAAAAACTGCGAAATCGCCAGCTTCTCTCTAATAATTTCATGAATCACAATAAACTGCTTTATTCATCTTAAAGTCTCATACATGTCATAACAGTACATCTATTATTGAAACTAGAAAAACACTGCACATACCGAAGAATCAGACATTTAACGAATACAAAGAAACAAATGTAGTCTCTAATTATCAATGAGACACTATATAAACCTAGACGCAGGTGAAGAAATAGACAGCAATGATTGAGAGAAATGCCGACAAGATCCCATAAGACAGAGTTGGAGCAGAACTAAATGGTGTTGGTTGAGCTGAAGGGGAGAGACCAGAAGAGATGGGCCACTCCACGTTGATACTGAACTTCTGGCCTCTTTCACAGTGATCATCGACGGTGCAAATGAAGTAGCGACGCCCTGGATTCAACAGGTTGATCGTAAACACCGTCCCACTCGGACCGGTGAACACACTCGTCACGTCGGTGCAGTTGTTGTATTCCGCCATTGTTACATCAGCCACGTTCTGGTTTCCAGTCCAGTTGAACACTGGTGGATTTAAGAGAAAAGAGAAGAAAAACATCAATACGATCAGCGTCTATAGAATGTTATCATGAAGGTTTTAATTAATGTTTTTATACAAAATGAATGGATGCTGGTAAAAGATCAAATTAATGGAAAACATACCCAGTGAGTCTCCAACGAAGAAGGTCTTGGAGCTGGCCCAGTCTGAATAGAAGGTCTGATTAGGAGGGGTGTTCCATCCAAAGCTGTCACCAACATGGTATTGTCTTGCCTCTGTTGCTGAAAATAATAAAGACAGTGCAACAATAATGGAGCAACCTATGAAGCCAAGGTGTTTGGCCATTGTTCTTGTCTCTGTTACGTACGTAGGCGGTTGGTTGTATTTATCTTGAAATGAACTCTCTGTTGTTCAAGTCCTGTTGCTGGGTAAGTCGATGGGATTGTGATTTGTGAGGTTGCAGCTAGAGACATATATATAGGTGTGGGATGGAGCCTTCTTGCTGAATTGTCAATGACGAGGTGCCATTTTTGAACGAGTTTTTAAGCATATTTTTGGTAAAATGGGGTTTATTTTAGAATTTTATTACGTGCTGTAGATGACACAGGCATTTTGACAATTCCTATATTATATTCTAAGAAGACGTCTTTTTTTAATCCCCTTCTATTAACACACTGCCTCATATATCTCTTTTGTTGCGTTCTGGACTAATAAAAAGGTTGAAGTCAGATTTTCTTTTTGTTTGGTTACATACAAGAGGGAACGGTTTAATTATTAAAAATTGAGAACAGTTAAGTTGAATTCCAAGATAAATGAAAAAAACAATAGGAATATGCATGGGAAGGAAAAGTCCCAAAGAATAATAGGGTGTTACTTGGGAGTTCGACGTTGCTTCGATCTTTGAACAATAACGCGGATAAAATTGAAGATGTCATATGCTAAGACCAATGGACCATCACAGAGGCAGCGATTTTTGATCAAGAGACTTTTTGAAAATGATTATTTTCTGGATATTAAGATCTATGATTATTATTATTAAACATTTTAGAAAAGCCATGGGAATACTATATATTCCTGGTTAATCCTTTACCTTTTTCTTTTTTTGGAACGCCGCAAAACATGTAATCCTTACGATTACGAATGACTGACCTTTTCAATTTCCAGACTTTTTCAATTTCCATATCCATATTAATTAAAATGTCCTTTGGTTGTGTTAATAATCCCTTGATTCATTCTGTTTGTAATAAATAAAATATGTATATATGTATAGTTTTATGCTCAAACATTTTGTCTATATATAACGCAAATTGTTATAAATTTTATTACGTGTTTACACACACACACACACTCTTGTAAGGAGATTCGTCTGTATTCATATCCTCATTCCTAATTTTTCAAACTAGTTTAGTAGTATTATTTAGGGCTGGTAGCAAGATCAAGACAAAAGATATACTTCTAGAGATTCGAGGTTACTTTTGAACCCAAATTTGATCAATATTCAACAAGATAATCGTATACGCGCAAGATACAAGCATAAGATATTTTACAGCAGACAGATATATTTTAATATTTGTACCTAAACAACTTAGGGTATTAAAAAAAAATCAATTTTTCAATTGCTTTAATAATCAATTCGCTTATGCCAGTAAAATTTTCAATGTTGGTTTTAGAGTTCTGTCGTTTTTGCTTGGTGGACACATTTTCTAAAACTCCAAATTTGATATAATCGACACATATCACATCATCTCAGGCCCAATAAAAGTACCTAAAAAATTAAAACCCAAGACTCTTTAGTGTTTTTGGTACAAGGCACTTTAGTGATTTTTTTTTTTGGCCAAACAGGCCTTTAGTTTTTTTTGAGTCCACACAAATTTGAACATTAAGATTCGGAAATTCTGCCGAGCTTTTTACCGTAACTCAATCGCACAGCTTGCTAAGCCTTTACGCTTTACCTGCAATTGACTATTGATATCTGCTTGCTTCTTTAAATCTGCTGACAAGCAATCCTCACAGAAAATCTTGATTCTCGTCAAATCGACGGCATTTTTTAGCAGAAAGCTAAGGAATTGCATCTCAGCTTCCCCGCCCCGAAAATCCGAGATGCTAGCCAATTTCAGACTGGACTTTAAACAACGAGGCACTGAGCGCAATGTCCAGGCTTCCCCATCTGAGCAGAAATCTGGGTCGAATCCCTTAATGTATATCCAAGAAACATGTTCATGAACAGAAATATTACTATTGTTAACCTTGAAACATATATATCAGTATAATGATACGGATTTACATCAACAATGTCAAGAACTTCCAGGTTAGGAGACTTCTCAAGAATGTCTACCAGTGCTTCGCCCGTAAAGTCATACATTCCTTGATCAACACCAATATGGGTCAAATTGTGGAATGTAGGAAGGCGCCAAAGGAGATTTTCTGCACGGGAAAGAGTCTACAATATAAAATAAAAGCAACTGATCATTGTCGTACAAAGGAAACGAGGAAGATATTGTTTGGATAGCCTATTTAAAGCGATATTGTCTGTAGCTATCTTATGAATGTTATAAGTGAATGGAGGGGGATCGGTAGACATACCTCAAGAGCATCTTTCGAGAGTATGAGAGACTTGACATGAAAATTTCCACTTACAAGTTTTACTGCCCGAGGAATAGTAGATTGTGCCAAGGATAACCAGCCATTTGAGACATCAATATACGCATCAGCTGAGGAGATTAAGTTGATTGGGATAATTCTATGCTCAAAAAGTTTGTGCAACTTAATGATCTGAGATTTACACAGCATCAATTGTAACTTTACAATTGAGTAAATCATCTCGCCAACAGTCATCCTCAATGATTAAGGTTGTCAACCGTTGGAATTTTTATGCTGACACGCCGACATTCTTCCAGTCACAACTACGCAAGGTCAGCTTTTGAAGGACTGGGCAACCAGGGAAAAGTTGTTGGGCTGACGCTTGGTCTTGAAAGGTTATGTATTGAAGTGTCAAGGTCTTCAAGCATGGGAAATGGACGGAACTATGGACCTTTAAGACGCATCCAAACTCCAGATCCATCATATTCAATGATTTAGGGAGTGGCAAGTTATTGGCTAACAGAAAGGAAGGTCTAAGATTTAAGGACAGTCCCAGCTCCTGAATTTTATGCTTTAGCAAAGCAAAGATCCAAGAATGAGCTCGGTCTACATCAACTGGAGTTCCATAAGCCACAAAACGAAACCTTTTTATAAATTTAGCCTTTTGAAGTATTGTGTCTACTTGATTGAAAAGATAATTTATCATCTTCTTTTCAGTTTCATTCTTGTGGGAAATTGACAGTAAAACTTCAATATTAAAGTCAGATAAGTAGGTCCATAAGAACTTCCACCTTCTTGCCAATAAGGAGGTTCGAATGGCATCTCTGGTTGAGAGGAAAGAAAGAATGTGATGAAGAAGGCTATCAGGTAATTTGCTGATCACATCTTTTTTGTTAATCATCACACCATGTCTGTAACGCTAACAGGAATCAGGTGACGAGACTAAATTGTCCATGATTAGTTATCTACTATAACAACCCCCTGAGAAAATAAATATATGAAATATGTCAGTATGATACATTAAACCGATGAACGGAACAGAAGAGCAGCAGCTGAATGCAAGTAATGAGAAGCTGAGAAGCCAGCTTCCCCTTAATGGACAAAATAAAAGTCTGGCTTTCGGGTTGATAGTAAATAGATACATTTATAAATTATAACGCATTGGCGATCACATGCATATCAAGCTATTTTATTACAAGTAGAAATTCTTTCAGTGTTTACCCTCCACTAAATGTAACAGTCCAGAAAATTAAACTGGTTGGAGTATCCCTGTTTAGTCAAAGGGAGTACCATTATATAACTTTTGAATTTCAGACACTTGACTAAAACTCCAGCATAAAAACATTAAGAATCATTAGATTCATAACCTAAATTTTGAGGAATGTCGACGTCACGAATTTCGCTACAAATTTTCATCTCCAATAATTTCATACAGAGTAGGAATTAGACGATTCAGGTAAAAATGCTATTATATTTGAACTTGAATCACAATGAAGGGCAGAACCTCATCAAAACCCCCTTTCTTATCTATATGATTAAAATCTAATCAACCGAGGCATTAAGAGAAGGGAGCATAAGGGGGGGAAGAAAGAAAAAAGTACATCAATGCAAGAAAGCACACTGTTTGGATAACGAATGACTTGTACCCCGCCATTTAATAATAAGAAGGTGCATGCTGATTGCATTTTGCTGTAACACTCAAGCGTTGAACTAAAATTGCGATGCGCGCAAAAGATTTTTATGATCTTATGTCAAACAACACAGAATAATTCAATTTCTGCGCTACTTTCTGTACACTACTATACCGATTGATTCAGAAAGCGTAACTCAATGAAACATTTCTACTTAGCTAAGAAATAATCGGATGTTTTGAGTCAGACAGAGGGCGAAAGCTACGAGCCTGAGAGAGTGACGATCGAAGAGAAGTAACGCAGGCCGGGGCAGAGCGACAATTCCAATTAGCATTAAGGAGGGCGAGGGAAGGGGCGGGGAACTTGACGCGCGATTCTTGGGCTGGGCCTAAACCATTCAAATTAAAATTAGACGATCTAGATTTAATATAATTTTACTTTGATACTTTATTATTTTTAATAGCTTAATATTTTAACATACCGCTGGCAAAAAAATATTCTAACGCACATTTTTTTTTTACCATGAATATTTTAACATACTACCTCTGGTCCTAAATATAAGACTCAGTTGACTAATTTGGGGAGATTAAGAAACTTAGTTAAGTTATTTGTAATGAATAAGTGTTGTTTTTCCTAAAATATCCTTGCTAATCAAGTTTGTTATCTAGAATTATCATTATTAAAGGACTATCTTGAAAAAAATAGATAAATATGAGAGGCAGAGTAGATTATAATCTTATATTTAGGACCAAAATAAAAGTCCAACAATGTCTTATATTAAGGACTGCAGGTAGTAAATACTACCTTCCATTCCTTAATAAGAGTTAGTTGACTAATTTGAGTAGATTAAGCAAATAAGTTAAGTTAGTTATTTGTAATAAGTAAGTATTTTTTTCCTAAAATATCCTTACTAATCAAGTGTATTAGTTAGAGTTACCATTACTACAAGAACTACCCTAAAAAAAAGGATAAATGTGAGAGAGAAAGTAGATTGGGATCTTATATTTAGGACTAAATTAAAATTAAATAAGTTCTTATATTAAAGGTTGAAGGCAGTATAAGAACTAAATAACTAATTTGAAAAGATTAAGAAAATTTGTTAAATTAATTATTTATAACAAATGTTTTTCACTTTTTTAAATTACTCTTATTCAATCATATACATTGAAACTACACTCAGGTGAAAATATTTTATAATTAATAAGAATATTTTTTAGAATATATTATAAATTTGACAGACAGAGTGAGAGTGAAAATGAATTAGAGTATTATATTTCGCTAATAGCACTTGAGGTGGTGCGTATATAGCCGATATCTGGTAATATATGTCTGATATAATGATCAAGAAATTGCAAGTAAAATTTATTACGAAATCTGAAGCAACTTGTCTCTAGTTTCATGAATAAAAAAACCAACTGCTTTATTTAACATATATCGCACACGCGCCTAGCAGTACATCCATTATTGTATTTAAAAAAAACAAAACACTGCACTCTCCGAATAATCAGACATTAGAACAATACATCCATAAACCTGTCGTCTCTAATCATGAAGATGAAACATACTACAAAAACCTAGATGCGGCCGAAGAAATAGACAACGACAGTACTGAGAATATTTAAACCCTAAAAGAGGGGGTTGGGGCAGAGGAAGATATTGGTGGCTGAGCTGAAGGAGAAGGAGCATCAGAAGAGAATGGCCATCGAACGTTGATACTGAACTTCTGGCCTCTTTCACAGTGATCATCGACGGTGCAGATGAAGTAACGAGGCCCCGGAAACAACAGGGTAATCGTAAACACCGTCCGGTTGGGACTGCCGGTGAACGTGATCACGTCGGTGCTGCAGTTGTTGTAGTCCGCCATTGGTACATCAGCCACATTCTGGTTTCCAGTCCAGTTGAACACTGTTCCATATTCACCGCAAACACCACCAGAAAACACATTAAAAATCAATCATAATGACAACATAGTATCATTGGAGAATCACCATTAGCCTGTTCGATGGTAACACTTCTTAAACTTATAAACTACAATCATAGTGTTATCTCGTATCAGATATGTTCTAACATGAAACGCCATGTGTCCTTATTAGGTAACAAGTTAGATGAAGTATATAAACAACATCGTCATTTTGAGATCAATATATATATATATATATGCATGTTTCAGAATATAATGAAGATGAAAATGATAGAAATAAAATGAATGGATGTTGGGGAAGGATTGGATAAAGATGAAGCATATATATATTCACACATACCGAGTGAGTCTCCAACGATGAAGGTCTTGGAAGAAGCCCAGTCTGAATAGAAGGTTTGATTGGGAGGGATGCCCCATCCAAAGTCGCCCCCTACATTGTATCGTGTTGCCTCGGACGCTGCAAATACTAAAGACAGTGCAACCATGAAGCAACCTATCAAACCCATGCGTTTGGCCATTGTCATCGGTTGTTTTTTCTTGAAACTCTCTTGTTTTTGCTACTTTCAAGACGGTGTGAGATTGTGAGCTTGCAGCAAACGATATATATATACACATACACCGTATTAGCATGGGCCTTCCACGTCATCTCATTGGGAATTAGAATTGTCAACGATGAGGTTCCATTTTTGAACAAGTTTATGTGTCCTGTTTCTGCAGTTTTTTTCCCCAGAAGTTTTTTGCCTATTTGGTAATTCCTCGAGTCCACTATTTTCGTGTTTAATATTATTATTGCGTGCTGTAGATGGCACTAAGGCATTTTGATTTGATTTTTCTTCTAGAATATATTCTAGAAGAAGAAGAACTTCTTCATTATATAAATTTTGTAATTTATTTAGAAAGTGCGACCAACCATCCCATTTCAAATAACTATATCAACACGATGCTTTCGTGCCCTTAATTCTTTTATAATATGTGTAAGTAAGGGACAAGTATTAAGTATTAACAATATAATACAGTGTGGTTTCCAGATTCCAGGTTGCTTCTTTGAACAGCAACTCAGATAAATTTGAAGATGTAAAAGCTTGACATGAGAAAATGACAGCCAAGACTTTTTTGAAATTTATATTATCAATATCAGGATGTTAACACCAATTATTATCATTTTAATAGGTAATGTGAAAGCTAATCCTTTTTCTTTTTTTTTTTTAAATTAAGGGTATGCCGCGTTAATTCTTGCTCTCTCTCTCTCTCTCTCTCTCTCTCTCTCTCTTGCATTTTTTGGGTCAAACACGTGAATCTTTACTGCAGAATGACTTTTCCATGTCTATAGGTTTAAATGTCCCTTGATTAAGCTAATCTTACCTCTTGGTCTTTTTTTTTTTTTTTTAACTTTTTCTAAAGAAGAAAGGGAAAAAAAAATGTAATCAGAAAGATGTAATAGTCTTTCTTTTGAACTTTGTTTGTGCGATTTTTATATAATTCACTCGGGATTTATCTGACCCAGAAAAATTTATTGACGACTTGTTATGTATTATCATGGAAAGAATAAACCCGTAAATACGCAGCAATCCTTTTTTTTTTTAATATTAGTTTATGATTTAAAATTTCATTTACTGTCTTATTTTTCTATAATGTCTTATTTTGCATCATATACCATCACCCTCTCTTGCTAAATGTTTAGCATCTGATGCTATGTGTTGGGAAGCAGTGAAGGCTCGAATGAATGCTGCAGGAAGGAGAGAGGTTCCAGTATCCCAGCTGTCCAGTTTAAATAATGGGTTTGATAGGATCATGGTTGCTGATGCTATGATGGGAAGAAGTTCTGCAACGCCCACTGATGGTGCTGCTGCTCACGGTTTTGACAGAAGTGGTATTGGTTAATTGGTTTTTGGTCTGCTTGTTTGTGTTGTTTTTTTCTCTTGTCCTTGTGTTTCTTAGGTGGTGAGTTTGTGTGTTGGGTTCTTTGTTAGTATCTTTGAGTGCTTTTTTCTTTCCCGGTCTTAATTGGCTATTAGTGTTTGTAACTTCCTTTTGTTAATAAATGAGATGGACTTTCTCTTGGCCAAAAAAAAAAAATACATACACGTAAATACGTAATATTATCATGGTTAAAAAAAAAAAAATTGGTATACAATGGTCAAAAACATTGAAATAAATTTTCCGTATTGTTAGGCGTACTGCGAGGAAAAAGGTTTTAGCCCCAAAAAAACGATTTTGGACTTAAGTACAAGAATGACTAAAGCGGGATAAGCCCAGTGAACCTGCTTTGGGTTGGGCCCAATGCGAAGCGAGTTATGGACCATTTACCTCTAATCCTTTTGTATTAAAGTTATGTAAATTAATTAATTATAAGAAATATAATATATTTTTTTAAAATATCATAATCATCTTTCTTAAATATCCTTCCTTCCTCACTTATTAGATTATGATTGAGGGAGTATCCATAGAGGTAATTTAAAAAAATTTGATGAATATGAGAAATAGGTCTTATATTTGGAATCAAAATTAAATTAACAACTAGATCCTATATTAAGGACCGAAAGAGTAGCTGCCAAAGATAAGTTTTTATGCACCGTATTTTTATTTATAATCTTTTTTCTCCAATTTAATAAAGAGAAAAGATACAAAATATGAGAAACTTACTAATTTGATGAATCTTAATTATCTATGTTTTCGGTTTAATGCCAATGATTTTTCTAAACTTCGATTAGTTTGGTTTAAATTGGATTGAACTGCGAATGGGTGTAAATGTTTATTCAGTGATAATTTTATTGTTATAAAATTCAAATCTTGCTTAGAGGAACAATTATAAAATCACAGGAATTAATCTGTCGTTATCAACACATATATCTTTCTCTTCAACATAAGAAAAACGGAAACGAAGATTTTAAAACTTAATCAAGAAAGATAAAGCGTTCCCTTGTGACCAATCAAGAATTTTTTTTTTTTTGGTTGTAGGAGCCCATCATATCTATTATTATTAGAGAGAAGTAGTCAAAATACCAGTTAACCGTGAGAAATAATTTTATATTATCCTGTCTTGGGAGATTTAAGGACAACAAGTTGAAAGGATTTGGGAGAAAAACTGAGAGGAGAATTTGTCAATAATCAAACAATATGGTAAAGCGAAGAAACGCAAGGGAGGTTGGAATCAAATCAAAGCGTGACATTTGGATATTGACGTAACAACTAAAATCAAAACCAATGTCATAATTATGATTTCGCAAAGGAAATAAAAACAGGGAAATTACACATAAATACCCCTAATATGTGAAATTATAATTTGGGATTTTTAATTTAAAAAATAGCAAATAAAGACCCCATCTCATATTACAAATATGAAATATTGGTAAAATGTCTGAAATGCTCTTCAATTAAGTTGTGATTTGGTCTACTGAAATTGTCATTCGTTAAAGCGAATTTGTTATTTTCTATGATTAATTTGTCGTTTGGCTAAGAGATATTTTAAACATTTAATCAAGATTTCATATTTATAATATGGGACTGGGTCTTTATTTGCTATTTTTTAAATTAAGGGTCCCAAATCATAATTTCATATATTAGGGGTTTTTATTTGCTATTTTTTTCTAAAAATTACAATATTTTAATTCAGGCACTTAAGATTTCAAAATTTGAAGGTAGAAAGTGATACTTGATGTGGCATTTTGCAAATATAGTTAAATAACAAAAATATCTTTATACCAAAAGGTTTATTAACAAGTTGTAAATTGGTAATGACTAGTAATAACAAGTTATTTATTAATAAGTTGTGAGCTGGTAATAATAAGTGTTGAAAAACCATGACAAGAAATGTACTGGTAATGATAAGTTTAATAGTTTTGATTTTTTCAAAAAATCTGATACAAAGATATTTTTGTCATTTAACTATATTTACAAAATATCAGATTGGACACTACGTACTTCCTCTCCTAGGATTTTGAATTCCTAGGTACCTAAATGGAAATATTACCTTTCCTAATTTCTTTTTATATCTTTTTACCTTTCCCAAAACGGAAACAAAATTGCAAAAGGAAGTCGTTGATGATGCAACTTAATTATGTCCTGTCGTACTATTATGTCTTTGATTATAATTATAATTTTTAATTTTTAATTTGTTTGAACATCAGCCTTTTCTAAACGTAAAAAAATCTCAACCACCCTGTACTCTTTATTATTTTTTATGCGACTTAATCATGTCTGCCTTACGTCAATTATTTAATAATTGTATGTGCAAATACTAATGTTGATGCCAATTTGCAGGATGTTATTTCAAAGTTTGTAAAATGCAAGTTAGGTGAGGTCATTAGAGAGATTGTGATAATTAGTGATAAGCAGCCAATCTATGAAAGCCATTAACATGATCATTAATTGGGTATTTGGAAGCATCTAAAAGTACACCGTAAACTCCTCTACATATTTACTTTGTACACCATAAAAATACTTTTAAAATTATAGTTCTGATTTCATTCAAACACCTTCTAAATTAGAGGGGACACCACCAATCTTCCAATAAGAAAGTCTCATTTATAATATGTACTATTGTTGCTTCTTAATATAAGATTTATTTTGTAGTTTGATTTTTTTTTCATTAAAATAAATCTTATATTGGATGGTAGTGGAGGTTATACATTAAATATATGATAGTAAGGATTGGAATTTTATCTCACATACACATCACATATACCCCGTCCGTCCCTTTTTAAAAATAATCTTGGCTCCTTTAGGTAGATCAAAAAGCTAATTAAAGACAATAAATAAATAGAAATTAAAAGTTCTTTCTCTAAAATACCCTTATTTATGGGAGGGAGAGAGTATAAGAAAGAGAATAAGAAAATTATTATAATAAAGAGAATTATAAAAGAGAGAGAATGTGTGATGGAGAGAGCAAGGTTTTGAAAAATAAGATAATAAATATATTAAGTATTAAAATAAGTAATTAATGGGAGTAAAATAGAAAATTTGCTATAAAAATTTAAAACAACTTATAAATATTATTTATATTTAAAGAGAAGAAAGAGATAATAGTTATTGTGTATAAAAAGAGAGGACATAGTATATACACATCCGGAGAGAGGAAGTGAGGAAATTAAAGTCAATGAAAAAGAGAAATCTCAACAAAACGCGCTCATCACTTTGAATTTTTTTTTTGGGGGCTAAAACATAGGTATTCTTTTTATTGGAGGTAATCCTATTTAAGGCACTGTCAGGTACTAAATATGAGTACCTCTCCTAGTAGAGATTTGAATATTAATTCGTCATGTTATGACGGATTAGTTATTTCTGCTAGACCCAATTCTGTTAGTTCATCACTTTGAATTTGAATTACCTTTTATATTGCAAACGACATATTTCTTTACAAATTATTATTCTGAGCCCAATAATAAATAAATAATTATTAATTCTAAATAAATATAAATTTTTTAGTAATATCAAAAGAGTTTAATTCAATTACTAACAAAATTTAAAACTCAACTTTTTATGTTTCTACCTCATCTAAGGCTCACTCGTCTGAACTAAAGTCCTATGGGATAAACAAGTCTTCGAAAAATACACTCTTCTGGTCCTTGATATAAAACCTATTTAACTAATTTGATTAGATTAATAAAGTTAGGTAAGTTAGTTAATTATAAGAAAAGTGATATATTTTTCCTAAAATACCGTAATTATCTTTCTTAACATCCCCTCTCCCTCTTTTACTTGATTATGGTTGAGGGAGTATCCATAAGGGTAATTTAGCGAAAATTGATAAATATGAGAAATAGGTCTTATATTTAGAACTAAAACCAATTCAAATATTGGGTGGACAGGAGGAGTATTATAACAACACTTAGAACTTGTAATATGTGGCGAAGAGTTTTTGCACAAAATCAGTATATAAAATGGAAAAGAAAGAAAGGTACCCTGTATAATAGAATCACAGGATTTATTACATCTATACGCAGATAAAACGAAGGAGAAGCCAATCTGGCCTGTTCAAATAATCCAAAACCCACATCATGGATAATAATTTATCGATCTATATGAAATGGTGAATCCAATGGATGGATCTACCTACAATCTCACTACAAGTATACAACAACTATATATATATATATATATATATATATGTGATCTCATCCGATATATATATAAACACAGAAAAGCCAAAATAAACCCGCACGTGTCAAATAATCTGTAATCCTGTATATCACGAAATCAATATCAATAGTAGAAGAAAGCCATGGCAATGAAGGCCAAGAAGGGTGGCATATATGCAGATAGAACCCTAGAGGCAGAGCTTCCAGGAGTAGACGGAGGCATAGCAGCTTCAGGAGAGAAAGCAGACTCAGATGAAGAAGAAGATGGAGAAGAAGAGGTATTAGAAGTGACATTAATGGCTAGCTTCTGTCCCAAGGCACAGTGATCATGGTAAGTGCTCGTGTAGAAATGCTCCCCAGTCGTGTTCAACACGATCCTCACTGGACTACTTGAGTAAACTGCCATGCTTTTGTTCGTCTCGCATTTCTCATAATCTTCCTTCTTCACCTCTGCAACATCCTGTGTTCCATTTATGAACCAGAACACTGCAACACACACACAAACAAAAGATTGTCTTCTTGAGTGATATATATATATATGTATATATAACCTTCCTCAAAACATTATGTAAGAACATTTATTTACCGAGGGCGTCTCCGACTCTGAAAGTTTTGGTGCGAGCCCAAGAAATGTAGACGATTTCACCGGCTGGAGGGACGATCCATCCCAAGGGACCACCGACGGTGAAGTTCCGAGGTCCTCTGGGTTTGGGTTGGGGTCTGGGCGATGGCCCAGAAGCTAACACGTGTACTGCCAGCTTCTGACCTAACTCACAGTGCCTATCTAACGTGCTCGTGAAGTACCAGTCTCCCTTACTGTTCAGCGTGAAATTCGCAGGGTTCGTCTTCTTCACTTCCATAGGGTTCGTCGTGTTGCATGTCAAGAACTCCTCCCTCGTCACTCGCGCCACGTCTTGGTCTCCGTTCTTGAAGTTGAACACTGAAAAAATGGCGGGAATTATAGTTCGTTATATAAGTTTGTTTTCTTCGGGAAACAAACAGGGAGAGAATTGTGAGGGACAGTTAATTACCGAGGATGTCTCCGGCGACAAAGATGTGGGAGGCGGCCCAGGCGTCGTAGGGTGCAGGGCCTGCCGGAGGAATCGTCCACCCCAATCTGTCTCCGACGACGAGCACTTGCTGGGATGATATGGTTTGTGCGAAAGAAAACAGGGACAGGGCTAGAATAGCCGCTGTGATCGTCGTCATCTTCATGTTTCTCGCCATTATTATTCCTGTCTTCTTTCTTCTTAAAGCTCTCTGTTACAGCTAACACTTGCCCTGTGTCTCTTTATATAAAGAACAGAAGAAATAGAGGTTTTAGCAGTATCTTGTTCTGTGAATTAATGTTAAATTATTCTGATATTTCTGAAAGCTCCACACAAAGTACCTACGAGTTCCTAATTAGATCTTTTCATAATTTTAGCAATATCTTGTTCTGTAAATGTATAGTTTCTCGAAACGTGCATGTTTATTAACACAATAAAAAATTGTGACATGTGGAAGATAACTAATGACTTGGCAGCGAAATAATATATTTTTTCACATATTAATTTTCTTCCGATCCACTTGTTGTTTGACGAATGTGTTACTTATAGCTGCTTTTTGTGGAAAAAAGGGCTGATATCTTGACGCAAAGTTTTGCATATGATGAACAAAATTCAATGTTGTGTGAAAGTACATTTTCTTCTGTCTTTAATCCTTTGATAGCCATCAAGGTTCTGGAAGCTGCAAATAATTCAACAGAGTAAACAAAACTTAAAAATTTGTTATGTTAATTAGTACAATTTATTAGATTTTCTAATGCCGTGTGTTGACCATTTTTAATTTTCTATATACGGCCAGTAGTTTGCCTTTTTCCTTTGAAAAAAATGCATCTTGCAATATTAATATCTGTTAATGTCAGATCAGATAGAGTTCATGGTTAGTTTCTTTGATGACTTGCCATATTCTCCTCAGAAGAAACTTCTTCCTTTTATTTTATTTTCGGAGAAACGGGCGTACACCCCACCAAGCCTTACAGCAACAACTATTTTTAATAATAATAATAATAATAATAATTACTTGGGCAATAATTCGTCCATATTCTTCTTCCGGGGAGAACATTCCACAGAGAGAGACAAATATATATAGAACTCACAAATTCAACAGAAGGTTCTCAGTTCAGCATTTGTTTGTATGGTTTCAAATGTGAAATCAATCAATCAATCTTCAATGTTCTACGAGTATTATTTAATTTGTAATAAACGGTACTGTATTGCCAAGTGGAAATTAAAGCATGATGTATGTAGATTCCAGAGAGGAAAACATGCATGTAAAGTAGGAGGAGGAAAAAGGTTCATCATTTTGTGAGGAAAAGTTTAGGCAAATATATATGATTTTATTTACCAAGATTATGAGTTATTGATTGCAATTAGGGTGGCTTATTTCTTATCAGATGTTTATTTATCCTTCTTTCTAAAAATTTAAAATCAGTGTTGGAGGCCAGTATACGTAACTATCTCATGAATTTTGTAGGAGTAGCCATCAATTTTTATTTTTATTTTTTTTTTCAAAAAAAGTTTCGCACAATAAAACTTAACATCAATTCACAATTTTTGCTACCTTACATAACTTTCATTGGTTGCCACATCAATTTTGAAGCAAATATATGTTGACAGATGTATCCTCATGACGTCGTTCTGCCAATAATATTGCTTTTATTATATATATTGTCACCCCACAGGCCCCCACACACGAAAACTATATATATATTTTTTTTGGATCATACGAGAAAACTATTACATGGCTTGATTTGTAGCAAATGCATAACATCAATGTCCTGTGAGAGAGTTGAGTTATAATCTGAAATGCTAACCATTCATTAGTTTGTACGCCTTTCTGTGAGCCTACAATACAAAAATAGGGAGCAAAAGCAGAACCAAGAACAATCGTACAGTCATGGCATTTTCAAACGGAGCTTGCGAAACAGAAGTAGTGAATTGCATTCACTTGCCAAATTTTTAAAACTTCTTCACTGATTATAAGATTTTACACTTGTAGAATCCACTTAGATTCAACGTTTATAGGATAATGCTAAAAGACGAGAACTCCCATGGGAAAAAGAAGGTATTCAGTCACCTGCAATAACTCTAACCCAACAAATCTACATGATACCTCCAATCTTTAATGTAAAATTTAACTTGCTGAACTCCAAAGTAGATTTTATATTGAGAACAGAACACACGACCGTACTATATTCTTGAATTTGGGTTCGATCTTTGTCAAGCAAATTGCTTATTCTCATTGGATGATCAGTATACAGTACACAAGTCATAGACTTGTTAAAGACAAGAGTTTCAGCGAAGTATATATATACTCTTTCGGTCCTTAATATAATATCTATTTAATTAATTTGATTAGATTAAGAAAGTTAGGTAAGTTAGTTAATTATAAGAAATATAACATGTTTTTTCTAAAACATCATAATCATCTTCCATAATATCCTCTCTCTCGTTTTTACTTGATTATGGTTGAAAGAGATGTATAAGGGTAATTTAGAAAAAATTAATAAATATGAGAAATAGATTTTATATTTAGGACCAAAATCAACTCAACAATTAGGTCTCATATTAAGAATCGGAGAAGTGTGTGTGTGTGTGTCTCTATGCGCCACTAAGAGTTTTGCCTAAAACAACAAGAAGGATATATATACACAAATGTTATCTTTAAAATGAATTATAATAAAATATGGTGCTGGCTGATAACACTTTCTGAGTATGGTCATGATCGCATCATTGTTAAAAGGTAGAGCCCATCCATCCATTTTAAAGCATCATCTTTGAACAGTTATCCATGCATTGATATCATTTCCAATGCAATTAAAACAGGTGAACTATACTGGAAGTGAGAAAATTAAGGAAAATTTTCTCAAAAGAAAAATAACTACAGATCTCCTGAGTCTGAACAAAATTCTTCGTTGCTAAAAATTACTTTACACTATCGACTACATAAAATGCTGTGACTTTAATCTGCAGGGTGGGATAAAAAACATCTGAATCCAAAACCCCTTTATTGTTGCCATGAGAAATGAGAGAAGTCGATGCTCTTATCACTAACTCCAGAAAAGCAGGAGTACCAAAGTTGAGAGAAATAATACCGTGGCGTAGGATCTAGACAAGCCTTGAGCATAAATATTCTGCAAATGAGAAAGCAAAGAGAAACCAATAAATACACCATAAAGAAGATATAGAAATTAAACTCCATGAACTGCATAAGGAAGATGGCATAGGACTTTTTTCAGTAAATGAAGCCTCAAATGATTAAGAAAAAGGGTCGTTTAATCACCATGTAAACTGGGAGCTAAACGTCAACTATCCCTTCATTGAAAAATATATTATTGATATAATGAAGTTGAAAAAACTAAGCACAAGTGCGTCTCTTAAGTTACAGCATCCCTCATCAGTTGGACCTCAGTTTATTTTCCCGAGGCAGAGGCCTAAAGTTTAACCAAGTTTTGGGACTCCTTTCATATATATCAGTTTTCACTTCAAATGTTGTCTCACAATTTTAGGTTCTCCACTTTATTGAGATGTGGATATTCTAACATCAAATGATACAGGAGATGAAAATGAGAGAAATAAATGTAGGAATTGTATCTAAGAACAATATGAAATTATGATGGCATTAACAAGAACAGTACAGTAACAAACACGAGTCATGGCAGTTTATCAGGCTAAAAAGCTGATAGCGGAATGAATCAAGAAAACAGAACCAATAGACAATTCCTTTTTTTTTTTTCCTCATGAATTATTCGAGACAGAAATTAACTGATAACTATTGTATATCCATGCATTGAACAGGGTTGGCTCTATATAATGGGAAGATATATTTCTTCAACACCCTTCTCACACACAGCAGAGCGGAGTCCATGCATTATAACTCCGTTTCAGATGCAATGATCAAATTGGTGGAAAGCCTTGGAGTGATAAGGCCAAGTAATAAGTGCCTCCAATATATGGTTTTCTAAAATGTGTAAATGCAACATGAATACATCGTAACAATCCTTCATGTATTATCTTTTAAAATTGAAATCCATTTTGACTTTATGATGAGACCGATCCCATTGGACCAAGGCCATGTAGAGGTATAGCACAAAATAAGGAGCGATCCAGAGAAAAATGAGAGGCCAGTGAGAATTGTGATGAGGTGTCCCAAGCCTAACTAGTCACAAATAACATGAAGGGGGCATGAAGAAAGAAGGCTGTTAGCGTGACATTTGAGCTGGACAGGCTGAGTGGCGAGTGGGAAAAAAAGAATTATGCCAAGCTAAGGAGCCCTTTTACTTTGTTTTTTTCTGGTTTCTTTGTTATTTTCTCACTGTTTTCTGTAAATTTCACCCTATCAAACTTGTTTGGGTGTTGTTTGACAAAACTCCAAGAAATACGTAGGCTTCCCATCACATTATAAAGCCAAACGGAAAGATAAAAGCAACATAAAATGCCAGATGCAACATATATCTGGCTAAATGCAGCGCAATATTACAGTTGTTCATGTGAAGTATGTCAACTGGTCAGGGCTATCCGGAGATAGACGACTGGTGTGTTAGATCTCTTCAAATTTTATTTTTTCTAGCCTTATTAAGTTTCTTTTTGGCCTTCTTTCTGCGTAAATCTGCAGATGCTGAACTCATATCTCTCTTCCAAATGCAAAAAGTGCTATCACTTGGTATTAACTCGAATTTTTTGAAGTTAGTCTCTCATCATGAATTAAGAGTTTAGAAAATGCTAATCAAAACTGTATAAAAAAAAGGATCAGCTGGCCGGTCCTAATCCTTCATTTCCCCCATCTACTTCCCAAAACCATATGCAGCACAGAAATGTGCACAGATTACCGTGTTTTATTTTCTCTACTTTTTTCCTATGCTTGCAATCAAACAGCAGCACGAAACTTTTAGTATTGAACCTAAAATAAATATGCATGACAGTCACTAGGATAAGATGGAAACGGCTCATAAGAAATATCGTACCTTGAAGGACAAAAGAGATGAATCTCCAGCATTAAGTCCATGAAACCCAATGTCATATGATATGCTCCCATCAGCCTTGAAAAGTCCATAATTCTTCTCAGAACCTGCCCCAGGCTTCTGATTCTCATTGAAAAGTGCAAAAATGTAAGCCTTCACAACATCTTTTGGCCTATGTGGGGTTCCTTTCCTCTTAGCAAGTCTTTTACGCAGGTTATAGTTATATGTCCTCGCATTAGTTGGAGTTGCTGCAGGTTCACTTTCATCTCCATGCGAGGCCCACCCTGTCTCAGTAATTATGACTTCCATTTTATCAAATCCAGCATCTTCCAAAGCTGCATAGGCTGCATCTATCTGAGCATCAAGCATATTATCATAATGTAAACGATACTTGGGATCATAAATTCCCTTTGTTGGCTGGAAAAGTGCGTAATTTAAATCAATATTCTCTGGATCATACGTGTAGGCCAGGAAGGGGTAAGCATTTAAACAGAAAGGAGAGCCAATTTGGGAGAAGAACTCCAGCAGTGGCTTCATATACTGATTAATATTATCTGCAAATCTACAAGAGGAGGGAGGGTAGGAGTTCTTAAATACAGCAGATGAGTGTGCAGTAGAAATCTGAATACCATCCAGATTGAGTTTCTGGGTAGCATTATGTATATTCTTTGCAGCACCCAGAAGAGCTCCCCACGAATTATAGTCACCAGCGAAAACCTCATTGCCCACCGCAATCCCCCGAATCCGTGTGTCAGGAAGAAATGCCTGTACATTGTCCTTCACCCAGTTCAAAGCATGGTCTGGGTTGGAACTCATGTCTTGCAACTGTCCATTGGGAAGTCCAATTACAAGTTCAAGACCAGTTTTACCGAAGGCCTTAAGAACACTATGATCAGCATCATAAATTCTAACATTTCTTATTTTTGCAGCCCTGAGCAGCGTAACAACTTCATCTGGTGAGGGAATATTATCTGCAATTCTCCCATAATTGATGCCATAAGTTCCAGTAAATGCTTGCACAGTATTGGGTGCTGAAAACAAGCAGAGGAAAATTTTGTTAAGATGATGGCTCAGTCATATATCATCACATACCAGGGAACAACTATATCTCAATATCAGCTGGCTTAAGACGATAAGAGACCTAACAAATTAATGAGCAAAATCAGAAACTAGGGGATGCACACACAGGACAGGAATTAACTGACAGTTTCAACGTTCTGACGCCTTCAATTTGAATATCAGAAAAGGAAGAGAAAGATGATTGGAACAGTAATCGATACAATTCAACAAATAATCAATAGTAAGACACGGTGATCACAGGTAAAGAAGGTAAACACACTTAACGGAATAACAGGAAAGCATTTAAAAAGGAAATCAAACAGGTGAAGTAGCAATATGAACAAGAACTTACTCGCGATCTAAGGCGAAATTTCAGTAAAAACTACCGCAGGGGCAAACGATTACGACACAAGAATCAAAGATGTCTCTACATAAAGGGGGAAAACTCAGCAAAACTTAAAATAAGTTCAATTTCAAGCTTTGTAACCGAAAAAGAACAGCAAGAAAGTACCAATTTGGGTGAAGACGACAAATAACATGAGAAGGAAAGAGCCAAAGAATCGCAAAGTTGTCATCGCCTGGAAAAGAAAACAGGGGAAGGCGATGCAATTTTCCATCAAAAACCGTATAAGAGTTGGTGGAGCAGGTCAAAGCAAGGTCAGAGTCGAGATTCGAATCGGCTACAACACACTGTTTCTTCTTCTTCACCAGGCATGCCATGCCATAAGACGAAGATTCCCTTTCTGCCGTAAAAACTAGAGATTCGCCGCCTCCATTACTTCATTTGCTTTCTCTCTTCCAACCCCTATATAAAAAAAACGATCTTTCCCCCTTTAAACAGTGAGTTGAAGCGGACAAGTGAGCAAAGTTGAGAACTTCAGCAACGATTCTCTGGAATGTGAATGTGAATGTTTAGAGAGGGAAAAGGAAGAGAAAGCGGGCGAGACTTGCCCCCTTATAGGCAGTGTCTTTTTTTTTTTAAAAAAAAAGAGATAATTGCGTGGAATTCCGCAGTGTACTGGTTTTTTTAAACGCGGGGCCGTACAGGAGGGGCTGCTAAGGAACCTAAATGGAAGTATGACTAAGAAATAGGAAGTGAAAGTATTGAAAGAAAGCGGATGCTAGCAAATAAATAGGTCGGCCATGGTTTGATCACTTTAACTGTTACTGACCGACTTAGGATGCCGGTGGTCAGTTGTCATATTGGTATCGTGCGGCATTTGGTCGGTTTGACAGGCATTGGGCGTGGGGCTTTTATCCCCCAACAAAAATAATAATAATAATAATTTAATCCTGCAACTTAGTTGTTAAAATTAAACATTTAAATACATAGGACATGCGCATATTATTGTCGACTAAACAGATGCTGCTGTTGCAAGAACAACTTTTCTTTGGCGAAAGATATAACTTATTTACAGAGCGTCTGGATTAATAGAAAAGTATTTTTTAAAATTTTTTTTATACTAATAAAAATAAAACTCTTCTCATATATTTATTTTATATACGGTAAAATTATTTTTAAAATTATAGTTTGATTTCCAATATGTTCTCAAGTTTTACAGCTTTTTCTTTTTTAAATTTGATTCATGAAAACCTGGATGGTTGTTGGATGTATCAAAACCAACTAACTGAATCATTAAATTTTTAAAAATTTTTAAAGGTCTCATAGCCTAATGGTATTAGTGTTTTCCTATAAGTATAAAAATCTTAGACCGATAATGCCCATCCTTTTAATTCAAAAAAATAAAAAATTAAATTTTATAATTGAATTTTAAATAATTTTAAAAATTTTAAATACTATAATTAATCAAATTAAAATCAGGAACAATATAAAATATAAAATATATTGCAAATTATAACAATCATGAATTATCTCGAGTTTTATTCAGGGGGTAATGAGGATGTGGTAGGGAATTAGGATATGAATAAGATTTTAAATATGACATCACCATTATAATTCATAAAACCAGGCCATAATTATATTCGAGATAAAAAGGTAAAGATTGGTTCCTCAGAGGCGAATCGACCCGGCGCCAGCCACAAAGAGGCGCTAGTCAACGTAAACGTTTACCTTTCCAACTCAGGGGTGACGCGTTATGATGATGCGCGCTCTCTCTGTAATTATTTGTCCTCACTTTTTGTTTTTATTCATCTTTCTTAAAACTTACTTCTTGCCTTACTTGGTTCTCTCTCTCTATATATATATATATGTTGGTGGCAAAAAATTTACATATATAAATTATTTAAAACATTTTTGTCATTTTTTACATAACAAAAAAGAAAAAATCCTAGATAAAGCCCTTCAAATATACATAATTTCATATTAGGTTCTGGAATTGTGTAAATGACAGAAAGGGTCAATGACCCAATCTGTCATTTGTAAAATTAAGAGGAATTGACAATTTTGTCCTTATTTGTATTCATTCACTATAATAATTTAAGGAATCGCTATAAAAGTTTAGGTGTTACCTAGATTCATATAGAGAATAGTTACTTACTTTTTCATAGTCAGGAATGCCCCATAAGAAATTGCCTTGTTATTAACTACAACTAATTATGTAATTACTAGAACAGTGTAAGTGTTACCTAAATTCATTTAGAGAATAACTACTCACTGTTGCCTTCATTTGTATTCATTCACTACAATAATTTAAAGAATTACTATAAGGGTTTAAGCGTTATCTAGATTCGTGTAGAGAATAACTACTCATTTTTTCGTAGTCAAGAATGCCCCATGAGAAGATGCCTTGTTATTAATTACAACTAATCATGTAATCACTAGAATAGTATAAGCGTTACCTAGATTCGTTTAGAGAATAACTACTCACTTTTGTTTAATCAGGACAAAATTGTTAATTTCTCTTAATTTTACAAATGACAGATTAGGTCATTAACCCTTTCTATCATTTACACAATTCCATGACCCAATCTGAAATTATATATATTCGAAGTGCTTTATCTAGGATTTTTCCAACAAAAAATGACTCCAAAAAAAATCATGCATTTACTGTAATATTGTATTTATAGAGAGTCAAACTTACATAATTACAATAAGCTCATACTTAGGAAAGACTTGAGAAAGTGGTTAGTAACATTGGATTAGAATCACCTATTAAAATAATTTTAAAACTTACCGTACATATTATGATATAATATTTTTTTAATTTGAGTCTCAGAAGAGACACTTGTGTAAAAAAGGAGAAAAAAAAAAAGCTACGAACTTCAATCAAATTAGCAGAAGAAAAAATAGATAGTTTTCTATGACGGATTATTGATTTAAGTATCAACATAAAATAATATAAAAGGTGTAATAATGAGGGACACATTCTAAAAATATTAGTAAATAGAGCTACTAATCATTTTTGCTGGGAACTCATTGTAATTTTATTCTTAGATAAATCAGCATAATAATTGTTAACCTTGTTGAATTACTAATTTTGTATAATAATGCTTTCGTAGTTCAACACATGAGCATAATTAAAGCATAAAAGAAGGGCCATTATTTAATTTTCAGTCTATACTTCAAAAAATAACACACGAACGCAAAAAGGGAAAGGGAAAAAAAAACACCGAACTAGTGGAGGTCACACGTAAAAACTCGTGATGGTGATAACTTAGTACATAAGCTGTTTGTATAATAGTATTATATAAGTGCATATGTGTGTATGTGCCGTGTGGCGAAGCTCTTTTGGATTGGATACTTAGCATGTAAGCAGGGGTTTAGTAAAATAACATAAAAGAATTAAGGTACAACTGCCCAAAAGTCCCTTAAATCTTGATTAGGGATCAAAATACCCTTAATTAAAGTCTTGTTAACAAAATTAATCTGAAATTTAGTAATTTCAAACTTTTTTTTTGTGTGAAATTCTCCCTAACCAAAATGCCCTTAAGCTGAACACAACGAAAGGTTATGGACATGAAAGATATATTACACAAGTTTTAGAAGATAACGGCGAGGAAAAAGAAAAATAATGTGCTATGAATACAAGAGTCAACACAAGATAAGAGATAGAAGAGTTATTAATAATATGAGTAATTTAGTTATTCAACTATGAAATTTTATCTTCCCTTGAGATCTAGGTTCTTAAACAGATTTCACATATTTTTGGGTAATAATTTTTGAAGTGGTGAATTTTTTTTCAGCAAATTTTTCAGGAATTAATGAGATTTTTAAAAGCAAAGAAAAGATGAAAGCTACAAAGAAGAGTGGAGGAGGAGGTAACAAAGCAGTGTGAAGGCATGAAAAAGGAGCAACAGGACACCGTAAAGTACGAGGAAATGGGAACTTTAAAAGATCAACAACTACTTATGTATGCTTGAAAATGAAAACCACACACAGGATAGTTAATTACTTGCTTTAAGAATTACGATCATAAATAAAGGAAAGCACTTTGGTGATAATATTAATACGAAAGATGAAGGATTTAAACACCAACCACCAGAGAATCTGCTTCCTCATCCTTCTCCCGTCATCGAAAAAGCTGAAACTGACACACACAAACACGCTGATTGCCGTAGAAAAAGTCATCCTCCTGATCTGTCGGCTACCCATTGCCTCTTGGACTTTCTTTGTTAACGTTTTCCCCAAAAGCCTTGTATTTGCAGTGCCTTTTTTTTTTTTTGTCATCTTTAAGAAAAAATAACACTGTTCATTCATACATACGTTTATTGTTCTATTTAGACAGTTTAGTCTGTTATAGTTTAAAAATACTCATAAAAATTACAAACCATGAACTGGTCCAAACAATATTGATTTTGCTATGGTCAAGTGTCATAATACTTATATTTGATGATCTTCTCTCTTTCACTTGCGCGTCGCCCTTTAAAGAAGTGAGATTTCTTTTTCTGTTTTATAATCCGGCCAAATCAGTCATTAGATAATTTTTTAAAAAAACTTCCCAGCTCAACATGCACTTGTCCTACTTTTATGCGTAGGGATAGGAAGGGATATTTTTCCCTTCCTTTTGTTTTTGGAATGCAAAGATGATAGTAACTAATACCCACAAACCATTGTTTAGGAGTGGCGAACTTAAAACCACCCATCTTCTTCCACCTGTGAACATTGAAGTGAAGAATGATAAAGATATCTAAGTGAATGAACAGGACAAGGCATAGCTAGTTAATGGATCTGTACATCTAACAAAATTTCTGTACATTCATTCAAAAAAAAAAAATCTGTACAACCTGAAAATTGACATCTCCGGCTTCTTCCTACCTGCAATCTGGCTTCCTCAATCGCATCCTGAAAATTGTATTTATATATTTTAAATATTTCGATTAGGTCTATTTATGGGCTTTAAGGGCATGTTTGGGTGACCCTCAAAATCATGGTTTGGGAGGTAAAACCATGGTTTTGGTGAGATGTCACCCAAACAGTATCAATTTTGGGCCAATAATCTGAAACCATGGTTTGGGCCTTTGGATCCAAACCATGATTTCAGGAAAAGTGAATTCGTTCTGCTTCTAGCTTAAATTGGAGAGATGATTGTGCTTGTCAGAGTAGATCTCAACAATAATATGACTTTAACATTTCTCAATTATTTTTTTATAAATATATTTAACCTTATATCTTATAAACATATATACACATATTAATTATTTATTAATTATATTATCTTATGTATTATTAATTATGTTGCTAAAAAATATATTATTAACAATTTTATTCCTTCAAATTAAAATATATCATAAAATTTATCTTTTATATAATTATCATATTAACTTATGTTTTTTTTTAGTAATTTGTATATATAAAAAGTACTTCTGATAACAACTATCTAAACACTCTCACTTCTCAGAATCACTTTTTTACAAAATCTATTCTTCACAGAATCTATTCTCCAAACCATGGTTTGGTTTCATCCAAACACACCCTAAATCAGGAGATGAGTGCGATCTACTATATTAACATTTAGTATATTTTTTTAATTTTATTTTTGTTATAATGTTTTTCCTATATTCTCTTTTTTTATTTATTATAAACATATATTTGGAAATAAAAATATATTTTTAACTTATTTATTGTTTTAAACTAATTTTAACTAATTATTTATTCTTTATGAATTAGTTATTTAAAATTTATAATAACAATAGGAAGAGTATTTCTGATGGGCATATTTGAAAATCTTTATTAAATGCACTTAAAAATTGGTAGAATTTGCTTATATCAAAGATCAAAAGAAAATTTTTACCCTCCTTCTCCCAAAAAAAAATCAAAAGAAAATTTTTTTCCTTTGGTGGTTGGCCCATATAAAAAGTAAGAAGGGAAACCCCCCAATTATTCGTTGGCATGGTTCGTGGTTGGGTCCTTCACCGTGGACGATAATGGACATAGCTACGTTTCAAGTTTCAAACTTTCGACAAAACTACAGGTCGAGAGAGAGAGAGAGAGAGAGAGAGAGAGAGAGTACAATAACCCCGACCCTGGGCATCTTCAAAAATGACTGGATCAGATTACAGAATCCCGCAACCTTATCTTCGAAAAGTTCCAAAATGGCCATGCCTTCTGAAAATAAGGGGAGAAAAAAAACATTAAAAAAAAAACAGAAAGAGAAATGGCAACAAATTTTCTCTCCACTGCAGCTAATCCCATTCTTCCGCCATCGTCACCATCACCATCTTCTTCCTCATCGTCTTCTTTGTTAGCATATGGTTGCCCCCTAAAATGCAATTTCAAGAGGAAACAAATTCTCTGCAAATCGGTGAACCTCCCGGAGGAGTTACATCGTCCTGTTGTAACCAAAAGAATCCTCTCTCTTAGCTTCTTCACTAGCTTCGTGCTTTCATTTGCTGGTGGTAAGGGAAGCTCTGATGCGAATGCAGCTATACTGGAGGCAGACGATGATGAGGAGCTCTTGGAAAAAGTGAAGAGGGACAGAAAGAAGAGACTTGAGAGGCAAGGTGTGATCAGTTCATCCAAGAAAGAAACAGGTTAAATCCCTCTCTCTTACGATTCTTTTCCTGATATTTTCTTCATTTTTGAGTGAATGTAGAAACCCCCCCAAGATCTTTACTGATGGCTGGTAAGATGTATAGTTTGATGTCTTATCTTGTGATATCTCCATTTTCATCACAATGTAAGTTCAGATCTGCCACGAATTGAGTGAAAAACATTATTTTTGTAAGAGCTTGTTTGCAGCCCCATTGAAAAGTAAAAATACTGGAAAGTTGTCATCTGAGTGACTTAACTAAAGAAGCCTTCTTTTGAACTGATTTTTCAAAATGTCCGAACCACTTGAAATGTATATGCAGAATATCTTCAAGACCTGGTGTACAATCTGAGCAGAGTTGGTCAAGCCATTGAAAACGATGATCTGGCTACTGCCGGTTCTGTTCTTGGCGGAAGCACTAGTACAGACTGGGTTCAAAAGGCTAATATAGCCTTTAACAAGGTAAATTTACTGTCTAAAATTACTGCATTAGCAAGGTATTGATACAAATGAATCGCAAATAACTAGACATATAATTTGGTGAATAAGACATGGACATGCCAACAATACGGTTAGCCATATATTTTAGATTTTATATTGATACTGATTATTTAATCTTTATTTGAATGTGGGTGGATTTCTTCTTGTTCTGTTTTTCTTGCTCCTCCAGCCTCTAAATGTTTAATCACATTTTCTAAACAAAAATCATGCAGCTGAGCTCGAGTCCTGAAGAGAAAGATGAGGTGGATATATTCAATTCTTCACTGGCATCTCTGATTTCATCAGGTGGGTTGCATCCGCCTTTATGATATATGCCGATAGTCAAGTTCATGCAAGAAAGAAATGCTGAAATTTATAGAAAACAAGCTGGTTTTTAACTTTTTACCTCACAGGAAGCCTTCCAGAATTTTGGGTCGTTTTTCTTTATATACTTGTTTGTTTTTATTGCGTACATCAAAGTCAAACGACTGCACTGAGGTTCCTTCCCTATGTTACATTTTTGTAGTTGCTAAGAAGGATGTGGAGTCTTCCAAAATCGCCTTTGTGTCTTCCGCTAGTGCATTTGAGAAGTGGACGTCATTGACAGGACTGTTTGCACAGCTGAAGGGACTTTGAAGGGAAGGAAACCATGGTTATTTCTTCTTGTCGTCCTGGAATGAATATGGATAAATTATCCAATCTTCCACCCGATAAATGCAGATTGCAATTTTGATGCTAAAACTTGAGAACTAAATTTTTGTTCAAACTGTGTATAAATACCCAATTAAGGAAGCCAGCCAGTTTCCAACATCTGCAAGAAAAATGTGGTCGCTTAGGCCTCTGGCGGTGACTTATACATACAGATTGTGAGATAGGCGAAGAGGATAGCAAACTGGAGATGTGGGAGTAAACGAAACATTTAGGATCTTACATGATCATAGGTTCTTATCACAAGATAAAACAACTTAATGTTTACAGGGAACTAAGCGCTAAACATCTCTAGTACACAGAAGGATGGTACATTACAGATCTACTCTATAATTGTATGTGATTGTTTCAATGAACAATCAGATTAACAACAACAAAAGCTGCAGTCGTCTTAGGACAGATCTTAGGGGGTCAGAAGGAGAGAGATGAAGCCAAAGCTTATTAATCTCATTCATTCCTCGGGGCTGCAACCTCACCAGTACCACCCCCATTGGTGCCGTTATCAATGACCTCTGCTTCACCCTTCTTTCTTGCCTCAACGTCCTTGTGATATCCTTCATTGTTTTCTTTTCGTTCTACCTTTTCCTCAGTTCTCAAGTTTATATCTTTATGCTCTCCTTCAACTTCAACCTTTTTCTCAACTATATTGTCTGTTTCAAGTTTCTTCAGTACCTCATTGTTTTCTTTCGTTCCTTCTTTTTCCTCAGCTTTGTTTGTATCTTTATGCTCTCGTTCCACTTCAACATTTTTCTCAACTGGGTTGTCTGTTTCATGTTTCTTCAGCACCTCAGGTCCATCCTCTTTCTTCGTCTCACCCTCAGGTTGCTCGGTTTTGTCTTCCAGTTTTGTTCCCTCACTCTTCTCATCTTTATTGGAAGCCTCAGCTTCCTTCCCGCCAAGGTTATCTTTCAGGCCCGGAAGCTCTCCACCAGTAGTCCCGGACTTCTCCTCTTCACTAGGTCTATTAACATGTTCTTCAGGTTTATCTTCCACAGGATGAAAGGATTCGTCTCTAACATCTCTACCCTCCTCTCTTTTCTCTTCTTGATTTTTGCTCACAGCAACCTTTTCCACAACTGCATCTTCCTTTGGCTCATTAGTTTCTTGCATCTGCACATCTGTTGTCTCCTTCTTATCTTCCTGGGAAGCATCTTTCTTTGAAGCTGATGATTTTCTGCTGCGCTTCTTCGGGGGTTGAGTCTCTACTGGAGAAGCCTTGGCTTTCTCGCTGATCCTAGCCGATCTTCTTGGGGTCTCACCAGTGCCCCACTCAAATTCTGACACGGCTGGGCCACCAGGGTGAGCTTTCAGATACTGTTCCAGCTGCTTCTTGTTATTAATCTCCTCTCCTGTAGGGGCAGTGAATACAATCTCATTTTTCTTTGGGGTTCCACCCTTTTTTGGGAAGAACTGCAACCAAAAAAAAAGAATTATAAATCATCAAGTTTACAAAATCACTACCAGAATGCTTGATAAAATGGTCTTTAGGGTGGCGAGCAAGAGATCTTTTTGTTGGAAGTGGCTTATTTAAATAAAGTGACAGTATCTATAGCTCAAGTTCTATATAATATCCCACCTATCGTTTCTTTCTTTCTTTCTTTCTTTCTTTCATTCTTTCTCCAATTCATGTTAATGAAGTCTTCCTACAGATACGGCAGGATGGTTCTTCATTCACTCAGAACTATTGACTGCTTCAAACATCATATGGACTATTACAATCTAGCAAATTCAGTATTTAAGTAAAAGAGTAACATGGAGCCAAATTAACCTTGTCCGGTCAGAAGGCTTTCATTCCTTCTTTAATCCTTCCATTCAGGCTCTACTCGGGAAATGACGAGGAGGAACCAAAAATTAGAAGACGGGCATTAAAGTCAACAACATAGACCAAGGCTCATAATGTGCCAAAAAAGGGGGGAAAAAAGAAAAGAAAAAGAGCATATCTGATACAGAATGCTTACGAACTATTTATCAATCTAGAAAGGCTTCAGTTGAAATCAAACAATGTCGTGCAAAGAAATAACTGAGAATTGACCCAAAAGAAAATGTAATAAAGCAATCGAATGGAGACTTTCTCATGTATTCAAACTGCAAGAGAGGCGGGATCAAAGATGTTAATCTGAGCGATCACCACAAGAAGGAAAAGATTAAAATAAAATGGTTCTAACTATGACATTGACAACATTGTGACAGTAGATACACAAAACAGAACAAAGAAAATTGTTTTTCTTCTGTTCACATGGTGGCTTAGTCATGCGTACAGAAGAGAAATGTGAAAGGCACAAAATTTGAAGTGAGAAAACAATAAGTAAAGTCTTAAAAATTGGGATTAAAATTGGATGGCAAATGTGATGAGCTGCTAGCTCACATAGCATCAATTTCAGTCTTTAAAGTTGGAGTGAGGCTGAAATTAGTAGGAATAAAATCATAAGTAAATGTTATTCAAGCTAATTTCATAGAAATACAGAAGTTGCACCTCTTGCATCACAAGGCTATGTTCCCCATAATATTATAGCATGTGTCTATTTGCAACTGAAACAACAAAATCTTATGATAAAATGACATGCTATATGAACAAAATGTGCAGAATATAAGACTAGGTATAATTCAGATCCACTAAGGTACAAGAATTTACAATTTAAGAGTGGAACACATTGATCACGAGCATTAAACTGACACATCTGATCCCACTAAGTGTAAGTGCAATCCTAAATTTTTCCAGTAAACCGCGAGGCACAGGCTCTCATTAGTCTTGGACTTGCTAATTAACAATAAACCTAGATTCCAACCTCACCAGTTTAAAGAACAGAGCTGGTTAAGCAACAGCATTGCTGAATATTTTCAGTACTGTGAGGTCTAAAAAACTAGTTGGTCTGTATAATGAAGATCAAAAAAGGTCATAAAAACAATATTTAATGACTTGATGCCCCAGTTTTCCCCTTAAGGTGAGATCAAGTCGACTCTAAAAAAACATTTCAGCAACTTTCAAATTTCAATTAGCAGCTTTATGCCTTTAATAAATGGTCTAACAATGTTTTGGAAATGAAAATTTTCCTCAGATCCCAAAATTTAAGATATTTTCTGCTTTCTGCAGCTATCCTTTTTTCCACTGCATTTTTTATTGGTGGGAAGACAAGCAGAGAGAGTATATAAGTGATTCTTAATTCTAATAAAAGCATGAAAACTCAGCCATGTCCCTCCAAGAATGGCTATGTATAAGTGTGCGTATCTGCAGAGTGTCCTGGCAAATTTATGAAACTTAACTCACAGGTAATTTCACCAAACCTACAACTAAAACCAATATTTTAAGGTCGCTTGTCATAAAGAAAATAGTTTGAGTGTTTGACAACTACTTCAAATGTAAGGCATGTCATCAAACTAAACTGATGGACACAGCCCACAGGAAAAGAAATCATTACTATGTAATTAGGCACCCACAATTGCAACTTTGCAAGCACATGAGAAGCCATACTTGATGAAATTATTTAGCAAATCTAGACCAATGGTGCAATCACTAAATCTAAACTAAGCAGATTCATTCATGTCAAAATCCCAGTTATTGAACCAAATATTTCAAAATCAGAGAAAGAATATTCGAAAAAATAAGCTAGAATATATAGTGCCAATTTTATTTACCATTTTGCGGTCCTGTGCAGAGAGTGAGCTTCTTCAGTATAATCGGTCAGACTCAGAACATCTTCTAAGATAATAGAGAGAAACTGAATTCATTATACAAGAATGCAGAAAATTTAACCATTGCGAACTTGAACTGGATGCGACACTCTCACATAATTTTACCGATTGAGGAAAGCAATAGTCGTAAACGTGTTTAAGAAAAAAATAAAAAATAAAAGTACAAGACACAGTAAGAGTGACCACTTCAATAGTAGTAGACATGTCGATCCTAAAAATGCATAGGACACAGCAAGAATCTAGCCACTCTGGAAAATAGGAATTTGGGGAAGGTCTAGATAAACCTAACAGATGACAATCACACAGCAGCAGTATAATTTTCTAAATTCATTACTTGAAAAACTTAAGGCTTCAATGTGAATTTCTAAGCATAAAGTGCTCATAATTTAAGATGAGCATACAAATGAGAAGATGCCCTAGCCAAGGTCCCATGAGCACCGCGTCAAATTGCGCAGTGAAAGACCGGAATTCGAAAAATAAAAAATAAAACAAACCCACGTCACAATTTAACGTCAAAGCAAGAACTAGAGAACAATCACAACGAATTATAACTCGAAACGTCAATCCTCATATAAAAGAATAGTCGAATCGAAAGACGCCCAGGTAGAGACAGAGAGAGATAGAAGTGGACCTTCTTCTTCCAACCAGGAGGAGCAGGAAGTTCCACGGAGAGAGCTTCCTCCCCCGCTAAATTCTCCTTTTCCACTGAGCTCGCCATTTTCACCTGCAAATTCAGACGGAAATTTTCACAAAACATGAGATACACAGAAGAGACTAAAAATCGCTTTTTTTTAAACCCCCGAAAAGGAAATTAGAAAATAGCCACGGGTTCAGGGGGAAATACACTTGCTTTACAATTTCTTCTTCAGTGAATTGGGCAGTGGCTGTTGTATCTGGGAACGAGGGAAACGAAGAAATGGGAGGAGAAAAACGGATGATGAATAAATAACGAAGACACAGAGAGAGAAAAAGAGAGTTAATCGGGGAGGGTCACAGTGCTCTCTTTTTCTGCCACGTGTCCCCAGATTTCATTGGGCGCCGTTGCTTGGTTAGTTTGTTTGAGGAGCTCGGGATAACTAATAACAAGTTGACTACAGGCTTCTTTAAAACTGTTTATAAAACTGTTATAAGTAAATCTTTAATCATGATTTAAACAATACCAGATAAGTATATGAAAAGAATTTTGTTTCAGTTAAAATTTTGTTTCAATTTACATAAAATATGTTTATACAGGATTTTCACTGTTATCTCAAACAAACACTATATTTATTGCATTCACATGGTTGGATAATGTTAGGAAGAAGTTAATTGCATTAGTTTGATGAAAAAATTGATATTTAACGTCGTTTTCACAACAATTGATTTTTCCACTCAAAAATCGTTTCAAAGCTGAAGTTTCTTTTTCAGTTTTGGGCTATTAATTTGTTTTATATATTTAAATTTTTTGAAATGAATTTTCAATTCATCCATCCAAATGAATCTCTCTCAAATTGAATTTTTTTAATAAAAATTTATCTAGATATGAATCACATTGTTTGTTACCCCAAATTCAAAGTGCAAAATTAGGATAAAAATTATTTTGTCAACCTATTAAGAAAAAATGACAGAAAAATACCTGTTGAATTTTAAGATAATAAATGGGTGATTTAACATATTTTGAGTGGTAAAAATCATTACAAGAATAATTAGCATAACCTATTTGTCATTTTGAAATTTAGCAAGTATTTTTCTATCATTTCTCCCAACATTAATTCAAACAATCCCTTGAAAATTGGAGGGAGAGGGAGCGGGAGCATTTTAGTCATCTCTTCTGATTAAGGCCCTGTTTGGATAACATAGAAAATCATGGTTTTGGGACTCAAACCATGATTTGGACCCAAAACCGTCCAAACACCCCAATATTTTAAAAAACCATGGTTTGAGCTGAAATCATGGTTTCAGCTTCCAAAACCATGATTTTGTAGAAAGCGAAAACATTTCACTTCTAAGGCTTCGTTGGTGTAATTATTACGAGTGTGAGAGGGTGGGCAACGATATCTAGGCAAGAATGCCCCTCCATTAAAATCAAAGCTTCACTTTTTTTTCCTCCTTTTTTCTTGCTCGTTCAATAGATGCTGTCCCTGATGGTGGGATTTGTGTCATCGGTTCGCAAGAAGAGGCGTTGGTGAGGTGTTTGTCGGCTTGAAAGAACAAGATTACACATTGGGTTGTCCGATCCATCCGTTGTTGGTGTGCAATTTGCATTCTTCACTTTGGGCAATCATTCATAAGTGAGGTGGAGGTGCTCAGATCTATCGCTTAGGTAATGTCTCTCCTCTTGAACAATCATTTTCTTTACTCATGCATTGCATCGATTTGATTTTGTGTAAATATAGTCTGCTCTGTAAAATGGGTAGTCTATTTCAAATGTGTTATTAGTCTCACGTGTGAGCTCAAAGGGAGGATTAAAAGTTTTGATCTTTGTAACATCCTTAAAAAAAAAGCTATTATTTCAAAAAAAATATATATATTATATTACATTTTATTACGATTAAATAATAATATTTTATTAATATTTCGGGGAAAAAAAAGGGGGAAGGGACAACACGTTCAGCTTTCCACCGAAAGCTGAACATATTTAAGAGGAAAAGGAATTTAGGGGAAAGCTTTTGACTGAAGGAAGAAAAATATGGAGGGAGCATTAATGAATGAAGAAAAAATTGATGAAGGACAATGGAATTTGAAGGATAAAAAGAGAGAGTGATCACAAAGAATGGAAAGAAAGAGTGAGATGCACAGAAGGGGAGATTGAGAGAAAAGAAGTGTTAGCAGTTTGAAGAGTCATACAAGCTTTGGGGATCATATAGGTACATTAAACACTTCTTTCTATTAAATTTTTCTCTATGAATATTTTCTATATATTTAGAGCTTTATATTAGTAGTATCATTATAATGTTTAGAGAAAATTTTGTGATCTGAGTATAGAGTAAGTATTGAGTTTCGAAAATATTTGACCGTAGAAATTTAAAGATTTATTATTAAGAAATTTTGATCAGTTTAGATTTGTCCATTTATTACCTATGGTATTTAAAATCAAATTTATTTTGTTGGAAAATCTGTCATTTATGATATACATCATATTTATACCGATTAAAATTAAGTTAAATAATTTATTTGGGTTGTTTGATATATTATTGAAATTTTAATCAGTTTATATTTGTTTATTGATTGTTTTGAGAATTTTAAACTAAGATTTTGGTTGGAAAATGTATTATTCAAGATATATAGAATGTTTTTACCGATTAAATTTAAGTTAAATAACTTATTTGGGTTACTTAATATATTATTGATATTTTAATCGGTTTAAAATGTAAAATAGATTAAGACTATATTATTAGAAAAATTTTGAAACTGGAAACTTAAGTTATAAATTGAGATTCTTACAATATTAGATAAAAACAATATTTTATAAATATTTATAATTTAAATGAGTTATTTGGGTAGAGAAAAATTGTTATTTGAAGTAAGAATTTTTGGATAGTAAATATATGTATAGATATTATTAATAATAAATTCTATGTAATTTAAGTTAATTATTTGTATGAACATTAAATTGTATCTATATTATTTGTAGATTATCTTGTACTTCGGAGTTTGTAATTTGTGCTCTTATTTCTCAAGCTGTGAGGTTAAACTTGGAATAGAGGTAACCGGGGTTAATTTATTTTATATACACGCTTTGGATTGTAAGGTGTTTATTATGTTTTTATTTTCTTAAGTTAATTTGTAAAAGTATGCCTGTAAATAAAATATATATTTTATTATATGACAAATTTTGGTGAAGTGGGAAGTATGATGATCTAATTATGTTTGAGTTGTGTTTTATTGGAAATTATGTTTTCGTGTAGTACTGAATTTAATATACTAATATTATGTTATTAAATGAAATGAAAATGTGTTATACTTTGTTTGAAATTATATCATCTTACTTTGAAGATTGTGATATTTTGATTTATATTGTGACTATGCATGGGGTTCATATGTGGAGGATGGGATTTTGTTATGTGAGGATAATTGTTCTTGAAGCCCGTGCGGCATGCCTACACTACGGATCCCAGTGTTTGACCTTATTGTTAGGCCCCTGTGGTTCTTCCTTTTCCTTGGCCTGGAATTGAGAACGAACTCTTGGGTAGACACCTCTTGCACCATAGTCCATTCTTGGGCGGTGTAGGTACAGGAGGGGGCCCGTAGCTTGATATGAGTGGGGTGATTTTTGGCCGGGTTACTCAACACAGAAAGCCCGGGTCCTTATCAAGGAGACATAAAGAGGAGCAAGGTGATGGGAGGGCATATTTCATTGTGTTGTTGCGTATATGTACTTTTATATGAGTTGTGTTGTGAATGGAGAGATATACTCTTTTTATGTGATTGTATCTATTCAAGTATCATTTATTTCTTAAACTATATTTAAGCACTACTTCACCAACTTGCCATCCTACTTGTATATGTCATAAATTAATACTTGGTTACTGGGACTTTATGTCTCACCTCGCTATTCCTCAATGCTTTTCAGGAGAGCCATCTAGTTTGGCTCGGCATGAAGGGAAGCAACCAGAGGCATAGGCGAGCATAGTCTAGTAGTCCTCTTCTGGTTTAGGCATGTAATGTTATGTATATTGCCATCTTAGGCTCACGACTGTGTTGACGTCTACTTTCTTTTGTTTGGATGACTGTATTTAATGGAATGCTGTTAAAATGGTTGAAGGTCATAAGACTCTGCTGTATGTGATACTCTTATGTGTATGACTTGTGGGCTGGGTTGAGCACCCTATGTTTCTTGTGCCCTAAGTCTTTGTGGGATGAATATTATGTTGGGCTTGTGGGCGGTTACTGTGCCCTGAGGCTTTGTTCTACGTGTTGTTAAACCCATGGGTGTTTTATGTATCTTGAGCCATTTGGGATGTTTTCGGAATAAGCCAAACTCTTTATAACCATGGTAGTATTTTAAAGCTCTAACTCAATTCTTTTCTACCATGGTTATCATTTTAAAAATGGTTTTATAATTATGTATTAAGAAGAGGTCTTTTCAATCTTGACCATGATGGATACTTGACAAACAGAGCTTTTGATATTGTTTACAAAAATTTCTTTTGTGATATTATATTGAATCAGGTTTATGAATGGTGATTATTAACAAAGAAAAACATTTATGAATTGCAAATGTTTGGGATATCGATGTACAAGAATTTTATTTCTATAAAAGCCTATGCATTCTGCTGTGTACCTTGAGATTATTTTGATTCGAAAAACATTGACCACACTGTCTGAGCAATATGTTCTGAATATCTTTCCTTTGTTCTGAACTCCTGATTAAAACATTTCATTTGAGGGCCATCGTTGCCTGAATTATGACCAGTATTAGTAAAGAAAAAAAGAGCTCAGATAATAATTTGGAAGAGTTCTTGGTCTTAGCTAATTAATTATAAAATGCTAAGATGGTGAATTCTAAATCTCCACTATGAGATATATATATATATATATATAATGGAAAATGTATAAAAACTTGGACTACAATCGCATCTTGCTTTAACTCTGGTTAAATATACATCTTATATTAATTGAATTCTGCTATATTTGTGATGTACAAGTGCAAATTGCATATTTTGGGCAAACTGAAATGATTTTGACGGTGGTAGAGTGATGTCAGGGGAAAGGCATGATATGTTTGAAACTATTAATTAAAGATTTATGGAGTGTTTTTGGAGCATGTTCATTTTAGTTACATATGCTTGAAGTATGAATGTTTTTGGGGCTTGCTCATTTGGTGTTGTACATTCAACTTTGTTTTAAATGTAAATTGTGATATTGTTAGGGCAATTCAAGTGTAAAAGGTTTTGATCATTTGTCAATATAGAATAATTGTGATATAAGATCAGTGTGACAAATGCCTATGATGATTTGTGTGTGTATTTAAATGAATAGGGATGGAGTATTTAATTGTAGGTCTTTAATTAGTATATGACCTCTTTGTATACTCAACTATGGCATGCGAGAATTTTGAAAATAAATATGTTTTTTGATAAATGATATAAATTGATATTCTGGGTACTAGTAAGGCTGTGAATTTCTGTCATTGAGTACTACCCATTAACCACCTATTAATTGTGTCAAACAAGCCTATTACTGATTCTAGATTCATTCAATTTGAAGAAGAAAGTACTTATGCACAAGAAGATGATGATGGAGTTGGATTTTCATATATACATTCATCAATACAATCTCATCTTATATGGCTCGGGTTCATAACAGCATAAGAGATGAACTTATTAATTATACACAAGGATAGTAGTCATATCTAATTTATTTCTTTTTATCATAGATTGTAATATGTAGTTAAAGAAAAAACTATTACAAATGCTATGTATCGATGCAACATTTTAATTATCAAGACACTTCGTTATTTATATTCCTTTTATTAATATTATACCTTATATTCTCACGACAATTATTACTTACTTTAATAATTAATAAATTGTTTTTAATGTGTGTTTATTCAATTTTATTAGAAAATATCATGCAATTTCATATTTATAATCTTCACGGAAAATTAATAATTTTCTGTTCACGGAAAATTATTCATCTTCTCCAAAAATATTTTTAATCTTATATTTTATAAATATATATACATGTAGTAACAATTAATTAATTATATTAAAGATCGGAAGTAGTATGTTGTTACAAAAATTAGTTGTGAAAAAATGTTATGGGATTTCATGTTTAAAATATTTAAAGGATATTGATATTTTTCTGTTAGCAAAAAAAAATCATTTTTCTATAATATTATGTTTTATAAATATATATATACACATATTAATTATTTATTAATTATATTATCTTTTACATTATTAATTATGTTAGTAAAAATTATTTTATTAACAATTTTGTTTCTTCAAATCAAAATATATTATAAAATCTATCCTTTATATAATTATCATATTAACTTATACCCTTTTTAGTAACTGATACATGTAAAAAGTGCTTCTGGTAACAACTATCCAAACACTCTCACTTATCAGAATCACTTTTCAGAAAATCTATTCTTCACAAAATCTATTCTCCCTGGAATTTATTCTCCAGAAGCTATTCTTCAAACCATGGTTTGGTTTCATCCAAACACTTTTTAAGATGGAAGGAGGGGGTATTTTAATAATTTTTATTATTATTTGGTTTAAAATGAAAGCGGTAAATAGCTAAATATGATTACAAATTGATAAATGTGTTTTATGTTATTTCAATTTCTTTTCCTATGTTCTTCTTTTTATAAAATAATTAGAATAATTAGAATTTGTTTTCGTGCGGGATGGTACGTTATCAATTTAGGAAGGATGTTGAAGCCACCAAAGTCGCCCTCGTGCCTTCCTTCAACCAGAGCGTTTGACAAATGGACGTCCATGACAGGAACGAGTATGAATTAATCAATTAATCTTGCACCCGATAACTGCGAACTGCAACTTTGACGCAATTTCATAGATATAATTTTTTGCTATCTTTGTTCCAGCGGTGCAAAATTACCCATTTTAGGAAACCATCACAGTTTCTAACACGTAGTCATGATCCAAAAAAATTACAATCAGGTCCTACAAAATAAATTTAATTACCTTCAAATTTATTGACAAGTGAAAAGCATACAATAGCAAGTTTTAAAATAAGGAATAATAACATGTTTAAACTGATCACTGGTCATTAGAGTTTTTTAATAATTAATTTTTTTCTTGAAACCCCTTGGTAATTCTCTCTTGTGATCCATGAAGGTGAATGACATGTACAGGCTCAGACTGAGGCAGAGGATAGCGAACGGGAATTTTAGGAGTAAACGGAGTATTTAGGAACTTACATAATCATAGGTTCTTGTCATATTACAAGATAGATACAACTTAATGTTACACAGGGGAACTAAACGCTACACATCTAATACACCAAAGGATGGTACATTATAGACCTACTCTATAATTGTATGTGATTATTTCAATGAACAATCAGATCAATAACAACAAAAGACGCAGTCATCTTAAGACAAATCTTAGGGGGTCAGCATGAGAGGGGATAAAGCAAAGCTTATTCATTATTCATTCCTCGGGGCTCCAGCCTCACCAGGAGCGCTCCCATTGGTGCCGTTTTCAGTGACCTCTGCTTCACCCTTCTTGCTTACCTCAATGGCCTTGTGATATCCTTCATTGTTTTCTTTTGTTCCTTCCTTTTCCTCAGCTTTGTTTATATCTTTATGCTCTCCTTCCACTTCAACCTTCTTCTCAACTGGGTTGTCTGTTTCATGTTTCTTCAGCACCTCAGGTCCATCCTCTTTCTTCGTCTCACCCTCAGGTTGCTCGGTTTTGTCTTCCAGTTTTGTTCCCTCACTCTTCTCATCTTTATTGTCAGGAGCCTCAGCTTCCTTCCCGCCAAGGTTATCTTTCAGGCCCGGAAGCTCTCCACCAGTAGTCCCGGACTTCTCCTCATCACTGGGTCTATTAACATGTTCTTCAGGTTTATCTTCCACAGGATGAAAGGATTCGTCTTTGACATCTCTACCCTCCTCTCTTTTCTCTTCTTGATTTTCTTTGACAACTGCATCTTCCTTTGGTTCAGTTTCTTGCATCTGCACATCTGTTGTCTCCTTGTTTTCATGGGAAGCATCTTTCTTCGAAGCTGATGATTTTCTGCTGCGCTTCTTTGGGGGTTCAGTTTCTGTGGGAGAAGCCTTGGCTTTCTCGCTGATCCTTGCTGATCTTCTTGGGGTCTCACCAGTGCCCCAATCAAATTCTGAAGCAGCTGGGCCACCAGGGTGAGCTTTCAAATACTGTTCCAGCTGCTTCTTGTTGTTAAACTCCTCTCCTGTTGGGGCAGTAAATACAATCTCGTTTTTCCTTGGGGTTCCACCCTTTTTGGGGAAGAACTGCAAAAAGATCACAATTGAATTAGAAATCGCCAAGGATGCAAAATCCCTAAATGACTGCTTGATAAAATGGTTTTTAGGACGGGGAGGATCCTATCTTGGACTGGAATTGGCTTAGGCAGAGGGTTTCAATATCTGTGTCTCAAGCTCTATATAATATCCATCTATCATTTCTTTCTCGGTCTTTTATTCATTCTTTGCCCAATTCATACAACTAAATCTTCCTATAAATGGGGCAGAATGATTCTCCATTGACTCAGAACAATTGACCACTCCATACATCATATGAGCTATTGCAATCTGGCTAATTCAGTATTTAACTTGAGGAAAAGAGTAACGTGGAGCCAAATTAACCTTGTCTAGTCAGAAGGCTTTCATTCCCTCCTTAATTCTTCCACTCAGGCTCTACTTGGGAAATGATTAAGAGGAACCAAAAATTAGACGACCAGCAATAAAGTCAACACCATAGGCCAATGTCCATAATGTGCCAAAAAAACAGCACATTTGATACAGAATGCTTATGAACCATTTTTAATATAGAAATCCTTCAATTGAAATCAAACGTGATGGATTGAAAGAGCCCAGAATTGACCCACAAAAATGTCATAATGTGTCCACAAGCAGGCTTTCTCATGTTTTCAAATTGCAAGAGAGGGAAGATGAAAGATGTCAAATTAATCCAAGTGATCATCACAAGAAGAAAAAGATTAAATAAAGTTGTAAATATGACATTGTTACAGTTGACATACAAAAAAGGAACAAGACAATTGTTGTTCTACTCTGCATACGGTGGCTTAGTCATGCGTACACTAAAATTTGAAATGAGAAAAGAAGGAATGTTCTGAATTTTTCAGATTAAGATTGAATGGCAAGGCTAATGAGACCATGACTAGCGCCAACTTCAATCTTTAAAAAGTGAATTGTGCTTGCTGTCAAAGGGAATCCCCACCCTTGCCTCTTTCCCTCTACTGACTTCCAAGTTCTCAAGAACTCCTTTGTTAAAAGAACAAAAAAAATGATTCAGAACTTGACTGTTTTTACCACAATCACAAGCAATATACTTTCCGGAAAGGGGTTTATTAACAACCATTCAATATGATGCAACGAAATTGCATATTCATATTAAATGCCAGGAATTGATCTTAACAGCATCTTATGAATAAGAGAAGATATTCACGATGTACAATATGTTTTACTTCAGTGGAAGTAATTTAACCTCCGCAATTGAAGTTAGAAAAAAGCATAAAGACATACTTAAATGTTAGTCGAGCTAATTTGATAGTAATACAGAAGTTGTACCGCTTGCATAAAACTGTTACTTTTAAAATCATAGCAAGTGTCCATTTACAATCATAATAATGAAATGTGCAGAATCTAAGGATAAGTATTATCATCTACCAAAAAAAAAAAAAGGACGAAGTATAATCCAGATCAACTAAGGTATAATTGACAATTTGAGAGTGGGTTACTAAATCGATCATTACAAGATTGCATTAAAGTGACACATTGGCTCCCACAAACTGCAAGTGAAATACTAGATTTTCCGGTAAACTGAGAGGCCCAGACTCTCATGAGTCTTGGACTAAGTGATTAACTAGTTAACAACAAGCCTGGATTCCAACCTCACCAACTCAAAGGGTGCAGGCACGCAGCCACTGCAAGCAACAGCATCACCGAATATTTTCAGTAATGTGGTCTAAACAACTCGTTAGCATAGCGAAGAAAAAAATGGTCATAGGAAATAAGCTAGAATATACAGTGCGATTCTGATTTCCCACGACATGGTGATGTATAGAGAGTGAACTTCAGTATACTTGATCAGGCTCGGGGCACCTTCTAAGATAACAGAGCGAAACTAAATTTCCGATACAAGCGTGCGGAAAATTTAAATGTAACCCTCCCATTGCGAAATTGAACTGGAAGAAGCACTCTCGAAAATATTTTACTGATTTAGGAAAGCAATAGTCTTAAACATCTTTAAGAAAAAATAACAGTGAAGACTCAGTAAAAGTCTGACCACTTCAATAGTAGTAAATGTGTCGATCACAAAAGTGCACCGGACACAGTAAGAACCTAACCACTTCGGAATATAGGAATTTTAGGCAGGTCTAGAAAACCCAACGGATTACAATCACACAGCAGCAGCATAATTTTCCAATTTCGTTACTCGAAAACCCTAAAGCTTCGATGTGAATTTCGAAGCAAAAGTATTCATAATTTAAGACGAACCAAGCAAATGCAAAGATGCCCTAGCTAAGGTCCCACGAGCAAAGCCTCAAATTAGGCCGTGAAAGACCGGAATTCACCAAAATAAAGCAAATCCACGTCAGAATTTAACGTCAAAGCAAGAACTAGAGCACAATCACAACGAATTATAGCAAGAAACATCAATCCCCATATAAAATAATTGTAAAATCAAACTAGCCTAAGTAGAGAGACAGAGCGAGATAGAAGCGGACCTTCTTCTTCCAACCAGGAGGAGCAGGAAGTTCCACGGAGAGAGCTTCCTCCCCCGCTAAACTCTCCTTCTCCACTGAGCTCGCCATTTTCACCTACAAATTCAGATGGAAATTTTCACAAAACATGAGACATGAGAGACTGAAAATTCCCTATTCTTACCCCCCAAAAGGAGGAATTTAGGAAAAAAAGCCACGGGTGCAGAGGAAACCACTTGCTTGAGAATTTCCTTTTTCTCAGAGAATTGGGTCGTAGTCGTTTCTGGGAGCGCGAGGGGCAAAGAAGTTGAAGATGAAATATGAAAAATGGATAAACAAATAATAAGTAATAAATAAATGAGTAAATAACGAGGCGAAAAGAGAATTAAGCAGCGGCCAGCGGGTGCGAATTTGCGGGGGACACGTTGGGGAGTCACGAATGCGTTTCTCTGTCCCAGAATGCTTCGGTTACATGCGGGTGTTGACTGCGGCGCTTCAGGTAGCGTCACAGTGCTATATTCTACTGCCACGTGTCCACATATTTCATTCGGCGAATAATAGTCATAAATAAAATGATAACATGTTGATAATATAATAATTTAGGCATTAAGTTGGAGGGGAAAAAAAAAGGTATTTAGGTATTAAAAAATACATTTTCTTCCAGACTTTGGCCTTGTTTAAAATGATAATAATATTTAATCATAATTTATAAAATATAAAATAAATATCTGAAAAAATCGTAAACATATTTATAAACAATTTTAAACAAATCAAGCTTCTAACTTGAAAAAATAAAAGATGAAGACTTCAAATTATATTAATCAAGGTCAAATGAAACACTCATACGAATTTGAATTTATGACTTCTCTATTAAAAAATGACATATGATATCACTCGGCCAAGAATTTTGCGCAAGAAGAATTTTAATTGAACACATTTTTATTTAAGAAATAAAAATTAAACTAAAAACATATTTTAAGAATTTTTTTGCCATCATTTTTTAATAAAAATTATTTATTTGATTTGTGTACTTTTAATTCATTTTCCTTTAATTCAATGAAATACTACTGCTAGATTAATTTGTTCTTTTTGATTTTTTCTGATTTAATCGTTTAACAATGAATGAAGCATAGTTGTTTTTTTCCTGGCTTACGGCTAAATACTACGAGAAGGTAGTTTTGAAGTTAAGAAGCGTGATTTTAAAAATATTGCAACATATATTCAAGAAAATACTATAATTTTTCTACAGATTTAATCAGTTAACTTTCATTTAACTTCGTTGCTTTGGCTTAGGTGCAGTTGGGTAATTCCCCTGGTCAAAACAAAAAAAAAAAAAACAAAAGGTGGGTAATCCCCATTCCCTGATCATACAAAGTTTCGAGCCATGTTAAAAAAAATTAAAAAGGTATTTTTACGCTCAAAAAGAGACAAAACAAATCTTTTCGGATAAATAGTCAAGACGCATGGCCGTTTGAGTTTTTGGGACGTTTCATTTCTTTTCACAGATTTATTTTATACACTGTAAAATTATTTTTAAAAAGTTAATTCAAATATTTCTTAATGCACTAGGACACTGGCTAACTAATTATGTTCCTTTTGGGAGGAAATCAAATAATTTTTACTATTCCGGTATTTAAAGTAGGGGGTTGGAATTTAGATTTAAATGTAAGACGTTAATATATCTTGTCTTTCAAATTTATAATTTTTTCCTAAAACATTCTCATCAATTGTACATATTAAGGATCTTTCACTAATGAGTAGTTCCAAATCCAAGATATTTTATTAAAAATCATAGTTTAGAAAGAAAAAAAATAGTCCTCCGGTCTATTTAACTAATTTGATTAAATTAAGAAAGTTAGGTAAATTAGTTAATTATAAGAAATATGACATATTTTTCTTAAAACGCCATAATTATCTTTCTTAATATCCTCCTTTCCTCTTCTATTTAATCATGGTTGAAGGAATATCCATAAGGATAATTTAGAAAAAAATCGATAAAAATGAAAAATAGTTTTTATATTTAGGACCAAAATCAACTCAATAATTAAGTCCTATATTAAGGATCAGAGGAGTATATATTTATGATAAGTAATCAACTTAACTAATTTTCTTAATATTTAGAAGTTAGTTATATGATGTTATATTAAGGATTTGGGTTAGTATAATTATAAATGGTGTCTATTCACTGATAAGTTGTTGGTTAAGATGATAAGTGGTCTGACTTTTATAAAAAAGAAAATATAAGTTTGATTTTTAAGAAATGCATTTATTGGAAAAAATTTAATCTTAACAACACTTTCAGCCCGAAGAAAATTAGTCTCAAATATACCAAAATAAATAAATAAAAGGTGTCCATTCACATTTGAGAGTATGCGCTAAGCTTGCAGGGTTAGAGGAAAACAAGCGGGGAAGATCAGAGAAAGAGCAACATTACATCAGGTGCGTGCCAATGTGGGTGTGGGTATAAAGAGAATTGGATAGGTGGCAATATGAATGGGACAATATCGAAAAGGACATTTTTTACTATCTGGAACATTCTATCTCTCTCTATCATAATAAAGCGGGGAAGGACACCCCACAAAAGTCTGAGAAAATCCCAGAAATTGGAAAGGCAAAAACCCACCACACATTTTAGTCTCCGTGCCATGGCCCCCCAACCCCGTCCCCATTAATGTCCATTAATGTCCATCAAACGAACCCAGATTACCCCTTTTTGGCCTCTCCTATTTGACTTCTTTTTCTTGTTTTTATATTTTGTTGGCTTTGTGCCGCAACGTAAAGATCACCTGGTTAAAACACACACAATTTTTATGAGTAGAACTCACTTTAATCTCTTTACTTATTTTAAGTAATCCCCCCAGTTCTTGTTTCTCCAGCTCCTTCCAATTCTAAATGTAGAAACTGAATAACTAAATTGCAAATGTTAAAAAATTAGTTAAATTAGTTATTAGTTATTAGTTAAAAAATATGTGTTATTTTTTTTTGAAGTACCTCTTTTAAATTTTAATTTTTTGCATTGACTCTCTTATTAATAATTCCTCTTAATAGTCAAAATTTGAAAGATAAAATAAGTTAAAAATATTATATTCAAAATTAAAACAAACACATCTACTAAATGCAAATAAAGGTTAGGTCTAATGAGCTAGCTCTTCACAACGTGACTAATCAAGGTTCCAATCCTTGCAAGAAAAGGAGCTCACATTTAGCATCTAACAGGGTTTCGAATATGATTGTCTCAGTAGAAGGATACCTATGCTTTAGGAAAAAAATAATAAATTTGTTTCATTTCACCACCCAAAGTTTTTTTTTGTTACAAAAAATGAGTTTTTTGGTTGTTGTCAAGAGCATCCTCCCACCCTAACGATAAGAGATTAATCTTTCAGGATACTGTCAGGAACAGTAACAAGGACCGCTCCTAACAGTGTTTTTTTTATACGCACTGCCCCAAAGATCAAACCTAGGACATGATTTTTAAGGAGTCCAAGTTCTTTTCACTTGGGCCAACACTTGTTGGTTACAAAAAATGAGTTGATTGAATGTTAAATATATACCTCTCCGGTGATTATGGGCCTACAAGAAGTTAAAAGCACACAGCATAAATTGGGCTTCACGGGCCCATTGGATAACGTGGACCCATGACTCTGCCGATGCAAAATCCAGTAATTTGTTCATTCTCTGTGGGGAAGCGCCCTTGCTTGTTATGGCACGAAATCAACAATCTCTGTGTGAAATGTGAATAATTTACCTCAAACTACAGATTTAATAACTAATTGGCATTCATCAAAATAATTACCAACTTAAATCGACGACAATCATAGAAACCAAACGGCACTTTAATTTCTGCTAAACTAGCTAAATAGTAGGTTGTAGGTTTTTGCTCTGAAAAAAGTCTAAAAGTTAAGTCATGCTCCTTCGGTCCTAAATATAAGACCCTTATACTAACTCTTCCGGTGTATATAAGGGTATTATATTTAGAATCGGAGGAGTAACATTTATGACTTATACAAAACAACTATTCACTCATTTTTTTCAAAAGTAAAATCACTAGAATGCTTTTATTACCATATTAGAAATAACGATCAATTGTTCTAGCTAGGCTATTTGAAAAACAAATACTACTTCCGATTTTTAATATAAGACCTCGTTTGAATTTTATTTTGATTCTTAATATAAGACCCTAATCTATTTGGTCTCTCATATTTATCTTTTTTTTTTCCAATATAGTCCTTCTAATGGTAGTTCTAACCAATAAACTTAATTAGTAAAGATATTTTAGGAAAGATAATACATATTCATTACAAATAACTAAATTAGTTTATTTTCTTAATCTACTCAAATTAGTCAACTAGCTTTTATATTTAAAACCGGAGATAGTAGTGCACATGTAGCTTGCATCACACACACACATATACTGAGAAACACATAAAAAGAGAAATGGTAAAAATGTAATATTAATATCAACACACACACACAATATAGAATAAAATTACTTGTCACAATTAAGTTACCATTTTATTTTTATTCATTTAAATAATTGTTATTTTCTTTAACACTAATATATGTGTATGTTTCATTGCATATGATTTTTCTTTTAAATTTTACATACATCTATAAGAATACTTTTGTCCCGTTACTTTAAATAATCAAAGGGGAGAATCAAATTGTAATGTTTGGAAAGAAAGAAAGTTTGTTCACAAATTTAATTTTATGACGAAAAAAATGATATAGATTAGCCGAGGGATCATGCGAAATTATTAAACATGAAAAGACCGTATAATATCTGTCAAACAAATAAGGACTATTAAATAAAACGTAATAGAGAATCTAGAAAAAAAATGACAAAAAAATTTGAAAATTACCAAATGCCAAATCAAGAATGTCAATAAAAATTTGTTATTTACAAATTTAGTATTATCAACATCAAACAAATAACGAGTTGTTACTAAACCTGATTTGGGATTTAATAATTTTTAACTTCTTTTTTTGTCATTTTTCTGAGAATCTAAGAGGGATCACTACACTTTGCATGAAAAGACATATCAATCAAGTGAATCACATACTATATTAATTCATGATTTCATGCCCTAGCTCTCATAGAACCGCCTTACACTAATCAAGTTATAGTATAACGTCAAAATCCAGAATAGCATTCAGACAAAAAAACGAAACACACCCCCACCTTCGGGTTGCGTGCATCCTTAACAGACAACTGCAGATAAAGAAAGCATCATGTGTGTCTGAACAAGTGAAAAGG